TAGTAATTGGACCTCTGTAAATACCTAATAAATTCGTGTGGTTAAAATGAAAGAGAAAGAGTGGATGATAGATATGAAGGATGACCGTTCTATGTGATCACTCTTCTAATGCTGAAATCCTAGCTGATTTTGAATGAGGCCACAGATAGATCCATTGTATTTTTAAAATGTTTTCAGTTTGCTTCCTGCATGAACAGGGTCATGGAAGTTTTATGATTTACTGCCTTATGTGCAAAATGGACTGGTCTTTAGATTTAGTTCTGAGTTAGAGGTCAGTTTGTGAAAGGATTAAAAAATTTTAGAAGTATGGACATTTGTGTTTGGGTTGTGTGTGTGTGTGTGCGCATTTATGCTGTGTGTTTTATCCACATAACTTGTTTTACTTTGAATTAAAAAAGGACATGTGGGGAAACACTTTCATAGTTGGTGTTTTAATTAAAGGTGGATGGTTCAATATTTTCCCCAAAATTATCAGTTTATTATAACAGAATCCTTTTCTCTATTTGAACCCAATATTACAGACAATAAATCCTAAGTAATTAAAAACATGTTTCATTCTCAAATTCACAATATAAAAACTTTAGCTACTCTCAAGGGAATCATACTCTTGAGAATGAAATCAGTATTTAAGTAAAGTAAAATAAAATATTAATAGGTCTGTATGAACTCTTTTGAGGCCTGTGTAAAAATATGGAGTAAAAAGTTAATAAAACTGATTTATTATTTGGCTCATTAATACTAGACTCTATGACCAATTCTGAATTCCAAACAAAATTCCTTATTATAGAGCAGCTCACCTTTCTCTCTGGACTGTGGAAAGTAGAATGTCCAAAGAAATTCATTCTCTTTAAACATATTCTTTCAATCCTTCCCAAATTAGAGTCAAATTTGGTATATTAATATTACAATAATTTTCTAAGAAGGCATTATATGCATTAAGGAAACTTCACTTTATAAAAGAAATGTTTTTGCAAAATGATAAAATAGTCATATTTTAACATTTCTTGTTTACCTTTGTTTTTTACAACCACCTAGAGGCAAATCATCATGTACCAAAATGAGGTAATATTTTTATATATATTGTGTTTTTTCAAGTTAGGAACCTTGATTCTTTTGAAAAAAATTAACTTACTCAGATAATTATAGATTCATATGCAGTTGTAAGAAATAACACAGAGAGAGCTCTGTACCCTCTACCTAGCTTCTCCCAGTGGTAACATCTTACAAAAGCATGGTGCAATATCATTACCAGCTTATTGACATCGATAGAGTCAAGATACAGAACTTTTCCGTCTCCAAAAGGTTCTCCTGTTGCCATTCTATAGACACACTCTCATCTCCTCCTCTTCAACCCCAAGGCAACCACTAATCTGTTCTTTTTCCATAATTTACTGTGTGTCTTCTCTCTTTTTTTCCCCCTTTGTTCACTGTCTAGAAGTTTGTCAATTTTATTGTCTTTTCAAAGACCTAACTCTCTGTTTCATTGATATTCTCTACTGTTTTTTTTTAATTTTATTGATTTCCATTTTTATCTTTATTATGTCCTTCTTTTTATTTGCTTTGGTTTTAGTTTGCTCTTCTTTTTCCAGGTTCTTGAGGTGGGACATTATGTTATTGATATGAGACTTTTCTTCTTTTCCAATATAGGTATTTAGTGCTGTAAATTCCTCTTAGCATTGCGTTAGCTGTGCCTTTGATATTTTGTGTTTTCATTTTCATTCAGTTAGTATATTGTTTTGATTTCGCCTGGGACTTCCTTTTTGACCTATGGATTATTTAGAAGTATGTTGTGTAGTTTCCAAGTGTTTGGAGATTTTTCTGTTATCTTTCTGTTTTTGATTTCTGGTTTGAACCCATTGTGTCTGAGAACCTAGTCTGTATGATTTCAGTTCTAAACTTGTTGAGATCTGTTTTATGGCCCGGGACATGGTCTGCCTTGGTATATATTCTGTGAGCACTCGGAAAGAATGAGTACTCTGCCTTATTGAGTGAAGTGTTCTGTAAATGCCTATTAAATCCTCTTAGTTGACTGTGTTGTTGAGTTCTTCTATATCTTTGCTGCTTTTCTGTCTCATCGTTCTCTCAATTGAGCAAGGAGTATTGAAGTTTCCAACTATAATTGTGGACTTGTCTATTTCCTCTTTCAATTCTCTCAACGTTTACTTCATATATTTTTCTGTTTTTTTTTTAAAGATTTATTTATTTATTTTAGAGAGTGAGAGTGTGTGGGCCAGAGGGAGAAGGAGAGAGAGAATCTCAAGCAGACTCCCCACTGAGCGCAGAGCCCCACGTGGGGCTCCATCTCATGACCCTGAGATAATGACCTGAGCCGAAACCAAGAGTCATTTGCTTCACTGACTGAGCCACCCAGGCGCCCAGATTTTTGTTTTTTGTTGCATACACTTTTAAGATAGCTATGTCTTTTATTGGTGGAATGACACTTTTATCCTTACATAATGTCCCTCTTGGTCTCTGGTAGTTTTGTTTGCTCTGAAGTCTACTTTATTTGGTATTAATATAATTGGGGGAAGTGAGGGTGTCAGTAGAAGTAGAAGTTTAGGTTCCCCAGGCAGCTGCTATTGACACCCAAGGTGGGGAGCTCCTTGTTGCTGATGGGTGGGGATATGAGTTCTACTTCCCACATGGTCTCCACTGACACCACAATGGGATGGCCTCATTGCTAGGCTGACTCCCTACTTGGTCTTTTCTGACAGCACCCCAAGGAGGGGTACCTTTTAACTGCCAGCAGGGGGTGGAAGTCCAGGCTCCCGACATGGCCTCCACTGACACCTGAGGGGCGATGGGGCATGTTACAGACCAGTGTGGGTGAATGGCCTGGCTCTCTACCTCGCTCTGAAACCACTCTGGAGAGAGAATAGGGTCACCTCCTTACAACCCACTAAGGGTGGATCTCCACTTGGTCTTTGCTGGTTTCAGTTGGGATAGAACTGCAGTGTTTTTTCTGTGGTGTTTGGCTTAGGTCAAGCTGTTATTAATGTAAAAGTTTTCTGTCTACTCAGGCTGTCCCTTTCCTTCCTTGCTGTAGAGAGCATGGTTTTCTTGAGGCTTTTTTTTTTTTTTTTGGTCAGTGTCTGTTGGTGTTTCAGAGTTGCCAGCTTCTCAACTCCAAGTCCCAAATACATAAGGCAAAAAAAAAAAAACAAAAACCCCAAGAGAATTTACCACTGTGTTGTTCTTTGGGATCTGAATTCCCTAGCTGGTCTGCTTTCTGCTCTTTGCTTTTCAGAATCATCTCATGTTCATTTTATATATAATGTCCAGAGTTTTTAGTTGTACTTACTAGGAGAAGTAGAGAAAAATACATCTACTCCATCATGCAGAAGTGGAAGTTCCAGAATGCTTCTTTTTAAGAATATCTAATTTATTGGTTCATGTTTACTTAAAAATGGAATAAATGTGAATATTGAAATTATAAGAATCTGCATATTCTAACTTTAACCCATCAGTATCTATAACAACAACTTTAAATACTTTCAGTAAAATACAACATTTTATTTCAAATTGTAAATGATCACTTACTCAGAAAAAAATTACTGATTTTTTTTTACTAAATGTGCCATTTTATTTTGGATGCAGTTGTTGCCTTTGGAGTAACAGACATTGAACATGAAAACTACTCTTCTGTTTTAAGTACACTATGATTTTACTGTCCCTCTATGGTGAAGAACACTTGTATCTGTAACTAAGGAGGAAGGGAAAGCAATAGAAAAGATGTTAAACATTTCCTTATTCTCCCTTGAAAAGACTAAAGAGCAATTTAAAAGATCATGAATTAGCACATTCTAATCAAATTTGCTCCTGGTTAAACTGGCCACATTGTGTAGAGCAAAATATCTGTAGAAGCTATAGTTTATAATGCTTATGTTCCTGAAAATGTTATCCTGATAAAAAGGCTAAATCTGCACAAAAGAAAACAAAAAATGTATTTATTCAAGTAAAAATGGGCAAGGAACGATTTGCAGTGTTCATGTTTGATAACTGAAGTCAGATTTCTCCGAATCAAATTTATAGTTCTGAAACTTGGTCACAGCTTACCCGGTGGTTTCTAGGATTGAAGTAAAAGAAAATAACTATTGAAATGAAAAAACAAACAAAAAACCAGCCAGAAAACAGAATAAAACAAAACATGAATGGTGCTTGGCTGTTTCTGGATAATGAATGGGAAGAAGTCAGTTTTATTACCATGCTTACCCAGATGGCTCATAGGCCCACATTTCATTCTCCCTTCTGGATAAGTGAGCTTTTTATGATTCACTTTTAGTGTAGCTACTTTTAACTCAGGATCTGCGTTGTGTTCACCTGATGATTAAATTATGTATGATGTGTATTCCAATCCAAAAAATTAGTTTTTGTTTATTCTCTTAGTAGTTCTGCTTCTCTGGTTGAAACTTGACTAGTAGGATGATCTTCACGATTATCTTGTACCTTCAAATATGTTGGTTCTCAAACCCATTAAAGTTGGTGCAAGAACCACAAGGGGTTCCTGTGAAACATGGGGATTACCAATCACCACCTCCAGAAATAAATTCTGATTCATGAATCTGATGTGTACCTTAAGGATATACATTTTATATGAGCATCAGATTCAGGTGGTCCAGGCACCATGCTTTGAACAAACACCTAAGAATATTTTGTCATACTTAAAATAAAATATATTTCATTGAAATGAAGGTTTTCCAAAGTAGAATTTCCTCTCCATTACTGGTGGTGGTAAAGCCAAATCTAGGTGAACTCATTCAATAAGAATTCATTATTCACTTGTATGTTAGAAGCACATTCCAGGGTGGGAATGGGTATCAAGGTATCTGGTGAAAGATATCTAGTAGAAAGTTTGACTCAGATAAAAGACTATTCCAGATAGCTGGATATCAAAACTTTAATTTTCAACTGTATAGGAGGAGATAATGAAAGATTATATCATGGTTTAAAAAAGAGCTAATGAGAATATTTTTCTGTTTGTATTTTATTCATTTCCACAGCTGGATTCTGATGGCACCATTACTATAGAGGAGCAGATTGTCCTTGTGCTGAAAGCTAAAGTACAGTGTGAACTCAACATCACAGCCCAACTTCAGGAAGGAGGTAAAGGTGCTAAAAATTATGTCTTCTTGTGTCCCTACCCTACCCCAGTCCTCAAAAAGACTCAAATTCCCCTTTTAAGTAGTAGTAGGGTGTTCCTCATCAGTCATTACACGTTTTCATATGGAGGATCATGTAGCAGAATCATGCTCTTTTCATTTCTTTCTTTTTCTTTTCTTTTCTTTTTTTTTAGATTCTACTTATTTATTTGACAGAGAGAGACACAGCAAGAGAGGGAACACAAGCAGGGAGAGTGGGAGAAGGAGAAGCAGGCTTCCTACTGAGCAGGGAGCCCGATGCGGGGCTCCATCCCAGGACTCCAGTGTCATGACCTGAGCCGAAGGCAGACGCTTAACAACTGAGCCACCTAGGCACCCCACTCTTTTCATTTCTTTAACCACAAGCTCTTCCCTCCCTATGGACAGAATGACTTGCCTGATTTTTGAGTTTCAGAATAGCAGCTGGGCATGTGCACATTGGTCTCTCAGGCCTCTCTTTGGGATCTGTTTGCCTGCAGAGAGCATGCATCCTGGTTTGCCCTTAACCAGGTAGTAAGCTTGGAGCGGCAGGCTCTGTTCTTGTGTATATTGCTTGCAGTTTTAGGTAGTATATATAAATATCAGAGGAACAGACAAGCAGGCCTTTTTATATGTACCTAGGCCCTGTTCTCAAAACAAATTTTCTTCTTAATAAAATGATTATTTAATTTCCATATGCCTGGCTCTCTATGTAATTTCTTGACTGGTTCCACATTCAAATGGGGACCTAGATATGTAATTTCTCAATTAGTTCCAAATTCAAGTGGGGAACTAGAAAAACAAAATGACAACACTACAGGTGAGATTTTGGTAGCCTTGGTGCACTTGGGTGGCTTACTGTTGTAACTGCTCAGGAACTTGTGGCTTGTGCTACTTGGGGCCTGGTGATCACTCTCAGTTCTTATTGGAGCCATTGAGAAAAGTTATTTATTGGAATCTTTGGAGTAGTAGGTAAATTACAATGTTTTATATGGGAAAATGCTTCACCCTTATAGTTGAGTATAATTAATGAATTTTTTAAAAAGGGAGGTGCTATTTACTGAGCTTCCCTAAATTCCCAACAGTCTGAATGCAGCAGATGTCTTTAAAGCTCTGCCCTACTAAAATTAACAACTCGGGAAACAACAGATGTTGGCGAGGATGTGGAGAAAAGGAAACCCTCTTATGCTATTGGTGGAAGTGCAAATTGGTGCAGCCTACTCTGGAAAACAGTACGGAGGTTCCTCAAAAAGTTAAAAATAGAACTACCTTACAACCCAGCAATTGCACTACCAGGTATTTATCCAAAGGATACAAACATAGTGATTTGAAGGGGCACATGCACCCCAATGTTTATAGTAGCAATGTCCACAATAGCCAAACTATGGAAAGAGCCCAGATGTCCATCAACAGATGAAAGATGTGGCATACACACACACACACACACACACACACACACACACACACACACTGGAATATTACTCAGCCATCAAAAAGAATGAAATCTTGCCATTTGCAATGACGTGGAAAGAACTAGAGAGTATTATGCTAAGTGAAATAAGTCAGACAAAGACACAATATGATTTCACTCATATGTGGAATTTAAGAAACAAAACAGATGAACACAGGGGAAGGGAAGGAAAAATAAAATAAGATGAAATCAGAGAGGGAGGCAAACCATAAGTGACTCCTAAGCCTAGGAAACAAACTGAGGGTTGCTGGAGGGGAGGTCAGTGGGGGGATGGTGTAATTGGGTGATGGGCATTAAGGAGGGCACTTGATGTAATGAGCACTGGGTATTATAGGCAACTGATGAATCACTAAATTCTACCCCTGAAACTAATAATACAGTATATGTTAACTAAATTGAATTTAAATAAAGGATTAAAAAAAATAAAGCTATGCCTTAGGGGCGCTTGGGTGGCTCAGTTGATTAAGCTTCAGATTTTTGATTTCAGCTCAGTTCGTGATCTCAGGGTTGTGAGATTGAGCTCCGCACTGGGTGTGGAGCCTGCTTAAAATTCTCTCACCCTCTCCCTTTGCCCCTCCCCCCTCCTCTTCCTCCCTAGCGGGGGAAAAAAAAAGCTATGCCCTATAATGAAATGTCTAGTTTGATCTACTTCATTCTAATTGCCAAATACTTAATTTAAGAACTTTTGAAGTTTATAACTTCTCCCTCTTGAATAATATAAGCAATTTGAAGTACTTTAATTACTTCCAAATTATGTTATTTGTCATATAATTTTATATTAATAAAGTCATATAGTTTTATCTTAATTATATATTATAATTTTTCTTCAAGATGAAATATGTCTTTTTGTAAGATTTCTTTACGTTAGAACTTGATTGCAGTGAACACTCTCAGTGTTTGTCTGAAAAGGTGTTTATTTTAGTCTCAATCTTCAAAGATACTTTTTCTGGACATATGATCCTTGGTTGAGAATTATTTACTTTTCACACCTGAATATTATTTCACTTTTACTCTAGCTTCCATTGTTATTGGTGACAAATCAGTACTCAGTCTTTGTTGATGATTAGTTTTTTCTCTCTGGCTCCTTTTAAGAGCTTTTCTTTGCATTTGATGTTCTGCAGTTTTATCTGTATCTAGGTATGGATTCATTTGATTTCTGAAGTCTGAGGATCTGTGTCTTTAGTCATTGGTAGGAATGGTTTGCTATTTTGTCTGAAACTTTGCTCTCTCCCCTTCTCCTAGTCTTTCCATCTGGAACACTAATTAGACAAATGTAGGACTTTCTCACCCTACTCTTTGTGTCTTCAAAAAAGAAATCAGATGAAACAAATATGGCAAAATATGAGCAAGTGTCAGTTCCAGGTGCCGTATATATATAATATTCTCTTTTATTTATGAAAAAATTGTAATAAAAAGAAAATACAAATTTTCTTCATGTCTGTGAAAGTGAAAGAAGTATAAATGCAAATACCTAGCTACAAAATGATTCAAGTAGTTAAAAACAAAACCCAAAATATTATTGATCCTGGTTTGACTTCACAAATGTATGGTTACACTGTATTATGGGTAACTATAGAACTGGAAAGAGACAAAGTTGGAGTTTCCAAATTTTAGACTGTTCTGTGTGAAGATCATGGTGTGACAAGCGTCACTAATAAGTAGTTTGTCCTGGCACACACAAAAGATGACAAGAAATGTAATTAATGGTGTTAATTTATAAAGAGAGATTGGTGAATCATCATGCAATTAATCAGTTTCTTGGTAACTGATGAAAGTATTTACTCACATAGGATGTGAAATGATGATCAAAGAGTAGATGTTAATTAAGATCTCTGTATTAGCTGTGTGAGGGCATGGCTTCCCCAGTCCTTTCAACGTTTGTGAATATTTACTATTCTCTTTGTCAAAGAGCCACCAGAGAGATGAACACAATCTACAGAAACATTATTTTTGAGAAATGTTGGTTTTCTGAATTTTGGGGAGTGTGTGTGTATGTGTGTGGGGTGGTATCTTGTAAGGAACTAGAAAACTATCCCCTTTAGAGCATGAGGAAAATATCAGCAGATTTGTCTCCATGGTAGTTTAAAAACTACATAATTATAGAATAAATGGTCATCGGGTTTTAAACTTGTATGAAGACCTTATTCCATCATGTAACTAACTCTTGCCAGAAAATATCATGATATTGCAGCATACATTTTATCTATTTTCTATCATCTATCTATCTATCCATCTATTATCTATCTATCTATTATTATCTATCTATCTATCTATATCTATCTATCATCTATCTATTTTAGAGAGAGAGATAAGATAAGCGGTTGGGAGGGACAGAGGTAGAAGGAGAGAGAGAATCCCAAGCAGACTCCACGCTCAGTGCGGAGCCCTACACAGGTCTTAATCTCACAACCCTGAGGTCATGACCTGAGTCAAAATCAAGAGTTGGGTGCTTAACTGACTGAGCCACCCAGGCACCCCTGCAACATACATTGTAGAGGGACAACTAGTTGTCAGAACACAAGAATGTGTGTCCAGGTCAAATTATTGTAGATGCACAATAGATATCTGGTAAAGGATTGGACAGTACAAATACATGAGGATGCATGACTTGTTAAAGACAAAGTGAATGGATGTGAAGCCATATGGAATGGTAGTAAGATACAGAAGAGTGTCTAGGGTAAAGTTGGTGAAAGAGGTTGATTCATTGCACTCTGTTTGAACGAGAAACAAAAACAAAACATAGGTAATGGTGGAAAGAAGCCGATGAAGCTGTGCCCCAGAAGCAAGAGTCAGTGTGATGGGTTCCTGGGTTGCTTGTGATATGTAAAGTATAGGCTTTTATTATGCAAGCAAAGTGAGGCTGTTTCCAAGAAAACGTTCTCTTCTATAAGAACAGTGTGGGCGAGGGAAGACATTTTCTTTTTCTTATTGCTTCAGCAATACCCAAAGCAAATCGAGTTGTTTGTTTCCATGTGATATGGAGGACACTAAGAAGTTAATTTCAGGTTTATGCTGAATTCTTTTCTGTACAGATCAGGGTTTGCATGACTATTCAAAACTGAACAAACAACTTGACATCATGAACATCGGTTAGAGCAAAATTCCTCAGCTACAGTAGTGTAATTGGTAACAAAAAAATTGAGAGAGCTATAATGGATAGGACTTGTGGTAGCAGAATAAAGGTCCCCAAAGATGTCCATACCCTAACTACCTGGTGTTATGCCTGTGTATGCTATGTTACATGGCACAGGGACACTGCAGGTGGGATTACAGGCCTTAAAATGGGGAAATTATCCTGGATTATCTGGATGGGCCCAATGTGGTGTATGTGGTGGATGAATCAGGAGGGGAAAAGGAGAGTGGAAGAGAGACTTGACGAGAAGGGTCACCCTGACTTGTTGACTTTGAAGATGGAGGAAAGGAGTCATAAACCAAGGGATATAAGTGGTTTCTAGAAGTTGATTGCCAGCAAGGAAATGGGGAACTCAGTCCTAGCTGAACTCACTGGACTTCCGACTTAAAGAAATAGTGAGATAATAAGTTTGGGTTATTTGAAGCCATTACATTTGTGGTAATTTGTTATGGTAGCAATAGAAAAAATGAATACAACACTCATTAAAAGTAATCTCATTTTGAAACGAAGGATATACTCTTTCCTGGAAGTTCAATACACAACTAATGGAGAGCAGTCCTAAAGAACACACAGTGTTGACTCTGAATATTTGTTAAGCCCCTGCCAAGTGCTGGGTGGCTAAGGCATGGAACAAAACAGACAAAATTCCCTACCTTTAGGGTCCCTGAGGTTTAAGGAACCAATAATAAAATAACACTTACTATTGGAAGGTGATGAGAGCTCAAGTAAAAAGTATAGAAGGCAAGGGTGTAAGGAGTGTTTGGAAGGTAACTATAAATGGGGAGAGTTTATTCAGAAGCGACCTGTGAGTAAAAGTCTGTAGGGCAGAGGGGAATAAACCTTAAGCCATCTGGTGAACGCACTGAATTGAAGGGAGAGCTAGGAGGACCTTCGCAGAACTGAGGTCAGGGAGATAAGTATGGGGGAAAGCGGATCTTGCAGGGCTTTCAGACTTTGTAAAGACTTGGCTTTTGCTGGGAGTGAGATGGGAAGCCTTTGGAAGATTTTGGCTTACTGTGTGAACGAATGAAAGGAGAGCAAGAATGGAACCTGAAAGATCAGATTTACCTTTCAATGAAAACTTTCTTCAATTTATGTGTAAAAAACTAAAATGGCATTTTGAATTCACTAGCTAATTTAAGAAATTTCCACTTTTAAATTCCCTTAACGTTGAGAGAAGCGTATCAAAATATTTAAGAGTGGTGGTTACACTGTCTGCAATTTACTTTAAAATACCACTGCAAAAAATAAATTAGATGAAATAAATATGGTAAAATATTAGCACATATCAATTCTGGGTGATATGTGTGTGTGTATATATGTATACAATGTTGTGCTTTATTTATGAAAAAATTTTTGTAATAAAATTTTTCCTCATGTCTATGAAAGAAAATGAAATGTAAATGCAAATACCTAGTTATAAAATGATTCAAGTAGTTAAAAACAAAACCCAAAATATTATTCATCCCAGTTCAACTTCACAAATGTATGGTTACAGTGTTATGGTTACATTATATTATCAGTTCAGTTACAGAACTGAAAAGAAACAAAGTTGGAGTTTCCAGATTCTAGATTGTTCTGTGTAAATATCATGGTTTGACAAGCTTGGACCATGGGTGTGGCAATGGAGGTTTTGAGAAGTGCTAGGGTTCTGGGTGCATTTTGCCCATTCAATTCCCCCCCACTCCAAATCTTTATACTTGATTCTTGAGGAGAGTAGAGCTTGTGAGAATTTTGTTTGAGATGAGTGTTAGACTCAAATTACTAGAATTATTGGTAAAAAGAAAATAAAGAATTATTGGTAAAAAGCAAACTCAAATCTTGGAGCTTACCTGGGAAGCTCAATCTGTTTCAGGTATCATATTTCTTAACAGCAATTTTTTAAAATATAGGGTAAAAAAATGTAGCTACAACTGTGAGAGAATTTTACTGTGGTTGTTCACAATGAATTCCAATGTTTCTTATATATTAATTGCTAAACTCATATATAGTGGAATCACTAAAATATTTTTAATTTATGCAAATCAAACGTTCCTCTTAATGGACCAGGTGAGGTGGATGAATCTTAGGACATTTGCATCATATCTACCCCATTCTAGTTTCCACAACTACCAATTTGTTTTACATTTTGCTACAGGTGGAGACCTGAAATTTTGTATTTTGAGCACATTTACTGTCTGGTTCCAATTGCATTTTTGTTTATTTGCTTTTTAATTTTTTTCTTTATTAGAGGGAAATTGTTTCCCAGAATGGGATGGACTCATTTGTTGGCCCAGAGGAACAGTGGGGAAAATATTGGCAGTCCCATGCCCTCCTTATATTTATGACTTCAATCATAAAGGTATTGAATTTTTTGGAAATGATTAATTTGGAATAGAAATGTACTTTTTTTCCCCTAATGAAAACCAAGAGAATTGAGCAATTTCAATGTTTTTCTTCATGTCTTTATAGGAGTTGCCTTCCGACACTGTAACCCCAATGGAACGTGGGATTTTATGTACAGTTTAAATAAAACATGGGCTAATTATTCAGACTGTCTTCGCTTTATGCAGCCAGATATCAGCATAGGAAAGGTAATGATAATTTTTGTATTTGTGAACCCGACAGGGAAACTGGGATAATATTTTTATATATTTCTTGATTGCCAACTATTATATATAAAAACCCCTTTATTCTAGGACACAAATGTCCTAAAAGATAAAAGCAAGGTTGGAATGTTTTTAGCTATCCAGTTAAGGAATGGTGTAGGACCTGAAACATTCTGGTATTTTCTTTAGGTTAGAGTTATCTGGCTAAGATATATGCATATATACTTATAAGTATGTATCTGTGTGTATTATGTTATAGTACATTATGTTTACATTATATTATGCTATATTAAATATTTTGCTTAAAAATCGAAATAGGTAGTCAGCAACATGATTTATGATTTCTTTTTTGTTACCTATGAATGGCTACATCTCATTTCACTCTGTATTCCTAAAGGAGATTTGTATTTTAAAGATGTATTTGTCAGGGCGCCTGGGTGGCTCAGTTGTTAAGCATCTGCCTTCGGCTCAGGTCATGATCCCAGGGTCTGGGATGAAGCCCCACATCGGGCTCCCTGCTCCGTGGGAAGCCTGCTTCTCCCTCTCCCACTCCGCCTGCTTGTGTTCCCTCTCTCGCTATGTCTCTATCTGTCAAATAAATAAATAAAATCTTAAAAAAAAAAGATGTATTTGTCATTTTATAAGATTGGCCAGTAGGTGATTTCATTAGTATATGAAAGATCAGAGTTGTAGAATTAAGCGGAAGCAAGGGGCATCCCATAGGTCTTCCAGACAACACCTTAATTTTACACGAGTAAACTCAGAACCAGAGATTAGGTGTTAGTCAGAGTGACCCAGCTCACTGATGACAGGATCTAAAGCTGAATCCTGATCTCCAAATTCCTCATCAGTGCTATTTGCAGTATAGCAAATATATGTAAATGTTGGAAACTTCTAGATATTCACTTTTAAGTGATAGGTGGTGCTTTAAGTCATGCTTAAATTCCTGTCACTCAGACCTCATGAGTAAAATGCATGATGATATGTGCATATGATAGGAGTTAATATGATAAATGGATGTATAAGTGGCTTTTATGGGGATCCTGAGAACAGTCTATCATACATAAACTCTACCAGCATTAGAAATTTTTCTTTATGCTTGATTTTTTTGGGGAGGAAGGGGAGTAGGGAGAGCAGTAAGGGAAGCAGTGAATTGAAGATTTCTTTGATTTTGCACTAATAATCAGGACTTTTTTTTTTTTAAAGATTTATTTATTTATTTTTTGACAGAGAGAGAGACAGCGAGAGAGGAAACACAAGCAGGGGGAGTGGGAGAGGGAGAAGCAGGCTTCCCGCAGAGCAGGGAGCCCGATGCGGGGCTCGATCCCAGGACCCCGGGATCACAATGTGAGCCCAAGGCAGACGCCTAATGAATGAGCCACCCAGGCGCCCCTAATCAGGACTTTATTAAGATTTTAAAAATTTATTTATTTGAGAGAGAGCAGGAGCAGAGGGAGGGGCAGAGGGAGAAGCAGACTGCCTGCTGAGCGGAGAACACCCCCCCAATGTGGGGCTTGATCCCAGGACCCCGGGAGGATGACCTGAGCCAAAGGCAGATGCTTAAGTGACTGAGCCACCCAGGCACCCAGTAATGAAAGTTTTTATAAAAGGAACAAGAAAGTAAAAAAACAAAAAAAGTGTGCATTGAGAATAAACATCTTTATTGGGGGGAAATAAGACTAAGATTTTGTAAACATCTATTGTCTTGTTCCTTATATAATTTCCTTATTGTTGGTTTGACAAAATGAGACAGTTACTTTTATTTACTTATTTTTCAGCTTTCATATTTTATTATTATTTTTTAAATTAACATATATTATTTGTTCCAAGGGTACAGGTCTGTGATTCATCAGTCTTATATAATACCCAGTGCTCATTACAACACATACCCTTCCCAGTGTCCATCACCCAGTTACCCCATTCCCCCACTCCCCTTCCCCTCCAGCAATGCTCAGTTTGTTTCCTGAGATTTAAGAGTCTCTTAGGGTTTGTCTCCCTCTCTGGTTTCATCTTGTTTCATTTTTTCTTTTCTTTCCATATGATCCTCTGCCTTGTTTCTTAAATTTCACATATCAGTGAGATCATATAATTGTCTTTCTCTGATTGACTTATTGCACTTAGCATAATACCTTCTAGTTCCATCCATATCACTGCAAATGGCAAGATTTCATTCTTTTGATGGCTGAGTAATATTCCATTGTGTATATATGTCACATCTTCTTTATCCATTCATCTGTTGATGGACATCTGGGCTCTTTCCATAGTTTGGCTATTGTGGACATTTCTGCTATAAACACTGGGGTGCATGTGCCCCTTCAAATCACTATGTTTGTATCCTTTGGATAAATACCTGGTTGTAAAATTGCTGGGTTGTAGGGTAGCTCTATTTTCAAATGTTGAGGAACCTCCATGCTGTTTTCCAGAGTGGCTGCACCAGCTTGCCTTCCCACCAACAGTGTAGGAAGGTTCCCCTTTCTCTGCATCCTCACCAACATCTGTCATTTCCTGACTTGTTCATTTTAGCAAACATTCTGACTGGTGTGAGGTGGTATCTCACTGAGGTTTTGATTTGTATTTCCCTGATGCCAAGTGATGTTGAGCACTTTTTCATGTGTCTGTTGGCCATTTGGATGTCTTCTTTGCAGAAATGTCTGTTCATGTCTTCTGCCCATTTCTTGATTGGATTATTTGTTCTTTGGGTGTTGAGTTTGATAAGTTCTTTATAGGAGACGGTTACTCTTAGTAAATAGATGGGAAAGAACTCTTCTGACAGGCCATAAGGTTATTACATTTGTTAGAGTATTATATTTAAAACAGCAGCATACTGTAGAAATTACCATATAATCCATCTCATGTTTAAAGGTTAAATGAACTTCTGAGAAGCAATTTAGCAATGTGTGTTTAAAAAACTTCAAAGCAGTCATATCCTTTGATCTTATAAAATTACTTCTAAGATTCAAGTATAAGGATTTGGAGTGGTGGGAATTGAGTGGACAAAACGTTCTTTGAACCATTGATTTTTATAGTGAATATTCTGAAGAATTTAAGTTTATTCTGAAGAATATAAATTTCCAATGAAGAACCTTCCAGAGAAGGTTAAATAAACTTATATAAATGTTTTTTGTAAAGACTTTGTGGCCTTAGAAAATTCCTTTGTTGTACAGTTAACAGAAAAAAAAATCAGGTAATAAAGTTGTATGTAAATTGGGAATGTAGATGCTCAAAACAATAGAAAATGCTGCATAGAGATAGAATGAAAAGAAATACATGAAATACAGTGTTTCTTTTTGGTTGGTAGGAATTCAGGAGATCCTCCCCCGCTTTTGTGTTTCACACATTATCCAAATATTTTCTCTTTTCTTTTTCTTTCTTTCTTTCTTCTTTCTTTCTCTGTCTCTCCTTCCTTCCTCCCTCCCTCCCTCTCTCTTCTTTCTTTCGTTTTCTTTCTTTCTTTCTTTCTTTCTTTCTTTCTTTCTTTCTTTCTTTCTTTCTTTCTTTCTTTCTTTCTTCTCTACACCCACCGTGGAGCCCAACATGGGGCTTGAACTTGTGATCTTGAGATCAAGACCTGAGCTGAGACCAGTAATCTGACACTTAACTGACTGAGCCACCCAGGCACCCCCAAATATTTTCTATAAAAAGTTTTAGTATTTTATTAACTGATAAGAATATGTAGTAAACAGTTTTTTTTTTTTAAAGATTTTATTTCTTTGACAGAGGGAGACACAGCGAGAGAGGGAACACAAGCAGGGGGAGAGGGAGAGGGAGAGGGAGAAGCAGGCTTCCCGCGGAGCAGGGAGCCCGACACGGGGCTCCATCCCAGGACCCTGGGATCGTGACCTGAGCCAAAGGCAGATGCTTAACGACTGAGCCACCCAGGTGCCCCAAACAATTTTTTTTAAAGGAACAAGAGGCAAAATCTTTTGCTTTCAGTTAGGAAAAGTAACTGAGTAAGATGCAAAGTCAGTAATTTGTAATAACTCATCAGTGAGCTGAGGATGCCAAGAAGTCTAAACGATCCTAATTCTAGAAATGGGCAGGCCCTTCCTATAAGAGAAGAGACCCATGACTGCTATTAATCCTTGGGTCTGTAGCAGAAGAGGGAACAACCAGGTCATAGAAGGGGATAGAAAGAAAAGAGCCAGGCTCTTAAACCAATAGTTTTTTTTTTTTTTAAGATTTATTTATTTATTTGAGAGAGAGAATAAGCGAGCTGGGGGCGGGCTGCAGAGGGAGAGAGAGAATCCTGAAGCAGACTGCTGAGCCAGACGCGTGGCTGGACCCCAAGACCCTGAGATCACTTAGCTGAAACCAAGTCTGTTGCTTAACCAACTGTGCCACCTAGGTGCCCCTTAAACCAACGTTTAACAGACAAGGGTTAGCATACGGGCTTAGAATCCCAAGTAGTCAGCCCCATTCACAGTGAACCATCACCCACCAGACAGTTTTTCCCTATGGGGCCTTCACTGAGTGCATGGAGGCCATGTGCCAGAGGCTGGGGACAGCGCAGCTGGGCTAAGAGAAATTTCCCAAGAGGTGCAAAGTGCTCTCAGAGTGAAAGGCAGCAGTTAGCCAAAGTCATGGGACAGAGCAGAGGATCTGAGAGACATACTTTAAGGCACATGGTGCATGATTGTTACAGCCTACACGCCAGGGAGGGGCAGGAAAGCAAACTAAAATCCCTAGCAACTGAAAAAACTGATGGATAGTTCAAATAGCCGCAAAAGTTCTATGGCTTGGAAAATGTCAGGTGGACTAAAATCCGTATAATAGCCACTAGAGGCTGCTAGCGCTAAAATCTTGAAGTCAGCTGAAGGAGTCGATTCTGCTCTCAAAACGCAAAACCAGGATCACAAAAAACGTAAGACAAAAACTACAACAAAGCTCAACTTAGTTTAACAACAAAGTAATCCAGCTTCCTTACCCAAGAAACCTGACGGAGGAAGAGGTCTGCCTTTTCTGGCAGTTGACATCATATACTTTAGTCTCTACTATTCTTTTACTTACAGGGCCTGGAATGTGATAGAAAATTAAAAGGCAGGGACCCAAAATCTGTAGTAAAAATAAGAGCAGAAGAAACTAGATGAGCCAGATGTTAGAATTTGCAGATAAGTACTTAATAATAACTATTATAAATATGTTAGATGATTTGGTAGAAAGGTACATAAAACAGATGGGAAAATCAGAGAAATAAAAACTTCAAAAAATAATAAAATGGAAGTTCTAAAATTGAAATATTCAATTCAAAAATGAAGAATTCATTTAATATGCTCAATAGCATACTAGATACAGCATGATAAAGGATTAATGCCCTTAAAAAGAGGTCGATAGAAATTTTCCAACTGAATATTAATAAGTATTTTAATTTATTTAGGAGAAAAAATAAATTAAAATAGCGGAAGCATCTGAGGCTTGTGAGACAACATGTAATTGTCTAACACATGTGAAATTAGAGGTAAAGAGAGAGAATTGGACAAAATAAATATTTGAGGAGACAATGGCCAAGAATTTTCTAAATGGATGAAATAAATCAACCTATATGTTCCAGATTTTTAGCAAACCCAAGGCAGGATAATTAAAAGAAAATCATACTTAGATATATCATAGTTAAACTGCTGTAAATCACAGTCAAAAGAAAACTTAAAAGTGGACAGAGAAAAAGGGCATATTAGGGAACAGCAATAAAGAAGATGTCTGCCTTTTACTCAGGAAACAACGGAGGCTGGAATATAATGGGATGACATCTTTAAGGTGATAATATGCATAAAGATAAAGGGAAAATCATGATACTTTTCAGACAGAAAACATATGGGAAATGCTCAAGAAAGTTCTCTAGATCAAAGAGGAATATGCCAGATGGGAACATAGATTGGTAGGAAGGAATGAGGAAGACCAGAATGGGTATATATATATATATATATGAATAAAAATGACAGACTAAAATAATAAACAAAACTGTATTCTTATCATCCTTATTTACTACTGTACTTACATCTATCTTTATATCTTTATAATTCATTTAAAAGTCTATTGACTGCTTAAAGCACACATAGTAGTCTCTTACTAAGGTTTATAAATTATGTAGACAAAATCTCTTATATGTGCTGCTGAAGTGAGCACTATGTAGACAAAATCTAAAAGGGCAAAGGCTGGGAAGCAAAATTGAGTATACATTTGTAAACTTTTTATGTAGTTTGTGAAATAGTTCAATATTATTTAAGTGGAGGCTCTGATAAGTTCAGGATGCATAATTGCTAAAAATTAATACAAGTGAAAGATTAAGAAATACTTAATTGACACCACCCCCCAAATAAAAGGTAAGGAAGTAGGTACAAAGGAACAAAGATAGGACATCTAGAATGCCAATACCAATGTGTTATATTTAAACCCAACATAGCAATGATTGTGTTCAATGTAAATGAACTAAACAATCACTTAAAAGACAGAATGGGTAATAAATGTGTAACTTAAGTATATACCGTCTGCAAGAAATGTACTCTAAATATAAAGATACAGATAAATATGAAGATAATAGATTTGTTGAAATTAAAAGGGTGGGTGAGTTATATGCAGTGCTTACCCTGAGCATAAGAAAATGGCTGTGGCTAAGTAGACTTCAAGACAGAGTATTACTAAGTTGGAGGGACATATCAGAATGGTAAAAGAATCCATTTACCAGAAAGAAATAATGATCCTAAATATGCATGCGTTTAGGAACTTCATATTGCATAAAGCAAAAATTGTCAAAGCAAAAGGGAGACATGATCAAATCCCACCATGTTGAAATTTATAAAAATACCATTCTCTCAGTAATTGGTAAAACAATTAGACAAAACTTCCATAGGATAACCTTTCACACAATTTGATGAAAATGCCATTTATAGAATACAAACACTACAAAATTCACATTCTTTTAAATTACACATCAGATCTTCTTCAAAATTGAACATATGCTGGACTATAAACAAGTGTCAATAAACCTCAAGATTAAAATCATACAGAGTGTATTTTCTGAAAAGAATTAATTGAAAATCAATTGAAATAAAATATGTGGACAATTCAAAAATTGTTGGAATATATGCCATCCATGGCAAAAATTTGAACTGAATAATTATGAAAGTTGAATATATCAAAAAATTGGGGGAAACAAAAGCAGAGCTTAGAAGGAGATTTATAGCTTATCATATGCTTGATTAGATTATAGTTCATTATATGCTTAATTATAGCTTAATTAGAAAAGAAGAAAGGTAAGCATTCAGTAGTCAAAGACTCCACATTAAGTGGTACAGTGTAATACATAGATCAACCACCAAAAGCACTATACAAAAGGGGACATCAAAATGGAATTCTACAAAATGTTCAAGTAGCACACAGGGTGGCAGGAAAAATAAAACAGAGAAATGAAAAAGAGAACGATAGAAAATAAAAAAATAAAATGATGGACTTAGCCTTAACATATCGATATTATATTTAAAAAATGGTCTAATTATACCAATTAACAGAGATTGAAAAATCTATTAGAAAATGTGACCCAAATGTAAGCTGTCTACAAAGTTTGAAACATTTTATATATACTGATATATATAGGTTACATACATACCATGCAATAGTATTCAGCAATAAAAAAGAACAAACTTGATCTATACAACAGCTTGAATGGACCTTGAGGTCATTATTGTGAGTGAAAAAAGCCAGTCTCAAAAGGTCACATACTGTATGATTCCATTTCTATAACACTTATGAAGTGACGAAATTATAGAGGTAGAAAACATTAATGGTTGCTAGGTGTCAGGGCTGCTGGGGAAGAGGGGTCTATGGGTGACTTTAAAGGACAGCACAAGGCAGGTCTTCAAGGTGGTATACAATGGTTCTGTATCTTGATTGCAGTGCTGGTTACAAAAATTTACATATGTGATAAAATGACACGGAACTATAAACACACAAAGTGCACCATGTCAAATTTCTGCCTTTGATATTTTAGTATAATTATGTTAAGATGTAACCATTGGAGAATACTGGGTGAAGGATAAATGGTACTTTTTTACTATCTTTTCCAGTTCTTGTGAATTTATAATTATTTTTAAAAATTACAAAGGAATGGACCATTGATTCATGTAACAATAATGGTGAATATCAAAAACAGTATGTTGACAAAAAGAGTATATACTAAGTATATACTATCTAATTCTAAGAAGTCTAAGAACAGTCAAAAAGTACATGAAGTACATGAACAGATGATGCCAATTTGTGATGACAGAAATTGGAACAGTAGTTACCTGGGAGTGATTGCTGGGTGGTTTTTTGGCTGGCAAGGTGCACAGCAAACATAGCTTGTCAAAGCCCATCAAAGTGCTCACTTGAGACCTATATATTTTATTTCATGTAAATTACAGCTCAATAAAAAACTTAAGGAAAACTAGAAATAATATTCGAAAAATGACATATTGTTTTTACTAGTTTCCTCTTACAATAGCCCTGTAACACATGTTTTGTTTACTTCAACTATCACGTTAGGTATACAATTTCAATTAATTAAAATGGACAGCACAAAAATTCACTAAATAAATATTGCAACATTTAATTTGACCTCACTTAAGCAAGAAATGCTGAATATTATTATTATTATTATTATTATTACATCTTTAACTCTGACTTGAGGGGTGTCTGGGTGGCTCATTTGGTTAAGCGTCTGCCTTCAGCTCAGGTCATGATCTCAGGGTCCTGGGATCGAGCCCCTCATTGGGCTCCCTGCTCAGCGGGAAGCCTGCTTCTCCCTGTGCCTTCGTCCTGCTCCATGCCCCGCCCCATCTCGCTGTCTCAAAAAAATAAATAAAATCTTAAAAAAAAACCAAACCCTCTGACCGGAATTTAGGAAATAAAAGAAAGGCCGGATGAATAATCTATGTTATATAAATGTGATAACACACTGCCCTTCTCTAAACAGGAAGAAGCATGATTTTTAGGTTTATCTACATCTACTTGTTAAAAAAAGCTATTTTTCTAATTAAATCTCTTACCCTTCAGCAAGAATTCTTTGAACGCCTCTATGTCATGTACACAATTGGATATTCTGTCTCCTTTGGTTCCTTGGCTGGGGCTATTCTCATCATTGGTTACTTCAGGTGAGTGATTCCCAATCCCTTTCTCCATGAGGGGACAGGTTCTGTGTCCTACGCATAGAAGACGCAGAGGTCTCACAATTTCTGGCCCAAATACTTTTCCCAGCACAAGTTTTTGAATTCAGCCTAGTGTTATAATATTATTTGGCTTTGAAAATTTATTTTTCATGAGGAAATTCAGGGTTTTTATTGTTGTTTAAAAACTAAAAAAAAATGTTTAAAAATATCAAAGCAGTGTGAAACCATTAAGCCTCTGCACTACAGTGTATTTGTTTGCAAAAGGCTGCAGAGTAGAGCAGAATGAGCTACAAAGATTTTCATTCATGATGCAAAGACTTCATTCTTCCCAAATGATTTTGGTGCCATTGGACAGAAATTCATTTTAAATAATCTCCCAAATGATCTGATATTGTATCTAAAGAAGTTGTATTTATTGCTTCTGTTATGGTTTATTTTTTCCACTGAAACTTTTGACCAATTCAATTCAATTTAATGTAAATCAGTACAAAATTTTGAGCACCAATATTGAGATAAAACAGTGCACAACATGGGGTGCCTGGGTGGCTCAGTCATTAAGCGTCTGCCTTCGGTTCCGGTCATGATCCCAGGGTCCTGGGATCGGGCCCTGCATCTGGCTCCCTGCTCGCAAGGAAGCCTGCTTCTCCCTCTCCCACTCGCCCTGCTTGTGTTCCCTCTCTTGCTGTATCTCTCTCTGTCAAATAAATAAATAAAATCTTTAAAGACAAAACAAAACACAGTGCACAACATGTATGGGAAATGTGTACTCAGGATGCTTGCAGCTGGTTTGTGATACACATATCTGAGAAAACAACGTACAGTGTGAGAAATGGTATGATTCAGGTGGTGTATGGTAATTGGGAAGGCAGAGTATGGGGATGAAGTGAAATCTCAAAAGATGCATGACTATAAATAAGATTTAACCAAAAGAGAATACTGGGGGACAGAATTCCAAACCTAAGTTTAGATCAAAAGCATGGAATATTTGGGAATGCAGAGTTTTGATGCAGCTAAGTGATGGGCAGTGAGACTGGAGAGCAGAGTTGAGAATGTTTTGAGACCTGTGGATTATATGAAGAAATTTGAACTTTACCCTAAGAGTGATGAGGAGCCATTGAAGGATTTTAAGCAGAAGAATGACGTGAAAGTCACTTGTGAGGTGGAGTGTGAGTTGGTGGGAAGCACAATAGGAAGCCCATTTGGAAGAGGCTGTTAGAGTAACTCAGGACAGGAAGATGGTGGTCTGGCCAAGGGCAGTGGCTTTGAGGATTGGATAGAAAGGGAAGATCTTGAGGTATATTAATTAAGACAATACAATTTTAGGAATTTAGTGCTAAATTATGCATGGGAAAAGGAAGGAGGGTAGATGACATAGTTAAAAAACAGAATGTTTTACATTTTGTTTCCTATCATCTTACAATCCCCTCTTCTTTGAAACTTCTTCTACCTCTTTTTGCTGTTTTTCTCTTTGGTTTTATCACTATCTAATGTACTATCTGATGTTTTACTTATCTTTTTATTTTGTTTATTTCTTTTTATTTTTTATCTCTCCCTCTAGAATGTAAAGCCACATGAGAACATTTATTTATTTATTTATTTATTTATTTATTTATTTATTTGCTCATTGTAGCATTCTTAGTGGTTGTAATGTACCTGATATATAGTGATGCTTAATAAATATTTGTTGAACTAATAAATAAATGACTAGTTTAATATTCCAACTACTTCTTCTAAAGCAATTACTCATCTTATGACAGTATAGTTTATATATCCAAAACTTTTTCTTTATTGATTCACTAGTCCATTGACACAACAAGCTTTTTCTCTACCATATATGATAGACTCTTTTTAGTATTAATGGAGGACAAATTAAGATATGTTACAGACTAGAAAAGCAGTATAGGGTGCCTGGGTGGCTCAGTTGGTTAAGCGACTGCCTTCGGCTCAGGTCATGATCCTGGAGTCCCGGGATAGAGTCCCACATCAGGCTCCCTGCTCAGCGGGGAGTCTGCTTCTCCCTCTGACCTCCCCTCTCTCATGCTCTCTCTCTCTCTCAAATAAGTAAGTAAAATCTAAAAAAAAAAAAGAAAAGCAGTATATATGAGAGACTGACTCATTAAATGATTATCAAATAAAATATTGTTAATACTATAATACAGGCTTTTATAAAGGGTTTTGGGAACACCAAAGAGGCTAAAACTGACTAGATAAGAGAGAGAGACTTCCCAGAAAACACTGATATGTGAACTGATGTTGCAATGATGAGAAGGAATTCAGTATATTCCAGATGATGGGAACAGAATGTGCAAAACTGAGAGTTAGGAAGGAGCAGTATAGACTCTGGGAACACAGAAGAGTCCCATGTGAATGCAGCATTTGGTGCATAGGGTGGAGTGCCCATATAGGAATGACTAGGAAGAAACTAGATTTTGTGGCACTGGTTTTGCCTGTCTTTGTCAAAGGCTTTGAATTTTATCGTGTAATGGTAGAGAATAGGGAGCTAATGAAGTTTTTAAAGTAGAAGGGGAACACAGATTTGTGGAATTATGGAGGGGTTCCTCAAGACAGCCTTGTGAAATTGGCTTGGCAGTATTATCCTATTTTACAGACCGAGAAACTGAAGTTCAGTGTCCAAGGTCACAAAGTCATAGGTGGTATGGCTGGAAACAGAACCGTCATCTTCCAATTCCTCTCCAGAGTTCATTCCATTATACTAAGTGTAGCTCTGGTTGTTCAGAATAATAGCTGAGTATTTATGAGAAAAAAAGCTACATAAGTTTTCAGGAGGATACAAATCACTAAGTAGTAATTCTTCAATTTACATAGTAATTTATCACTTTTTAACAAATTCTTTCTATAATACTTTTTATATAATTACTATACTATATAGCAGAATGTTACACAAAAATTTCAGAAACTCTTCTGTTTCACAAAACAAAATACTTTTTTATTAAGATAGTAAGTAGTGTTGAGTCTTCTAAAAATCAATACCTACTTATATACTGTGATAGCACTATTCACAGTCAATAATTTCCACAGATACCTGATAACCCTATATGGTCAAATCCCACTCACTTGTGAAGACACTCCCCAAAAGGAATTGATTAATGAGGAGGACTGTCTGGGCACAATGGACATGTATACATGTCCCCACCATACTAACAAAATAACATTTCCAAAATGTCTAAATTTAGCTCATTCTCAGTTGGCCTACCCTACTATATTATGAAATGTAAAAATATATTATTGGATTAAAAATTTTTTACTCTCTTACACTTACGTACTTTGTCCTTCCTGGAAGAGAAGTAGTAATAGGGTGATCATTGTACAGGAAAGCTGCCCTGTCTTGCAGTCAAGCAATGGTAGAGCTGGGCCAGATTCTACAACCCTTTCTTAAGAGTGTTTTTAAGAAAAGATATCTTTTGGAGTTAGCTTTTTGTACAGGAAATTAGTAATACTATATCTACTCCTATGTATGTTATGGTTTAACTTGTGTCTAAGATTCTTTTATAAACCCAAGATTTTTATGTTAAAGTAAGCTTGTTTACTCTTTAACATTACTAGGACATAAAGTTGTGTAGTGTTATCAAAATATTTACTTTTTCTTGTAGAGTATGTATTGAAAATGTGAAAGCTCCACTTTTTTTTTTTCAAAGGTTTTATTTATTTATTTGAGAGAGAGTGGGCAAGTGAGAGAGAGAGAGAGAGGGAGAGAGCACAGGAACAGGGCGAGAGGGAGAAGCAGAGTCCCCACTAAGCAGGGAGTCCAATGTGGGACTCGATCCCAGGACCCTGGGATCATGACCTGAGCCGACGGCAGACGCTTAACTGACTGAGCTACCCAGGTGCCCCTGAAAGCTCCATTTTTAAATAATATTTATCCCTTTTCAAAATGGTTCTCCAGTAGTCATTACTTATTACTTATTACTTTAATATATATTTTAGTATAATGCTTTAGTTTAATATAGCACAATTGTTAACTCTGCAAAATCGGGATAAATATAGTAGTAGATCAGGTTAAATTTGAAATTATTTCTCAAAAAGTTACATTTTAGTTTTTGATCCCAGTTGTTTCAGTTGGAAATAGATAGTAATGGGTTTCTATCTTTGTTCAGGCTTACTATACTTTCTTCTTTTTTGTTACATTTATGTATTTTCTTTACCTATGTCTAATTTCATCCAAATCTAAATACTGAATATTTTCTCTCCATAGACGATTGCATTGCACTAGGAACTATATCCACATGCACTTGTTTGTATCTTTCATGCTGAGAGCTGTAAGCATCTTTGTCAAGGACAAAGTGGTCCATGCTCACATAGGAGTGAAGGAGCTACAGTCCCTGTTGATGCAGGATGACCTACAAAATTCCATAGAAATGCCTTCTGTGGACAAATCAAAATATGTAAGTGTTTTCACCATTTTCTGTCATTACTGATTCCTATAACATTACAGACAAGTAAAATCTTACAGGCCACTAAATCTTAGCTTGTTTTGGCTTATGTAATCTCTGAATTAACCAAGATGGATGACTAATTTATATGATGATATTTACTACCTCAATTCTGTCCTTAAGCTTTACACCTAATTACTCATCATCTTAGACTATTAAAAGTCTTGAGCTCTTTCCATAAGAACATTCTGGCATGGAAACTTCAAAAATCACATGACTGGAGTGCATTTGATGTGGAGCTCATACTAGCTTTCATGGCTTACCGTGTTCAAAAGTAAAGAGCCCACTTGCAAAACCAGAAGTGTGTTATTTTAAAGCCCACAACATTTACCTTCTTTACTTTAGATTCAGACTTGTTCCAATATAAGATTCCAGGGTACTTGATTCTGCTCTGAAATGTCCTGGTTTTATTTAGTAAATAGAATCACTCAGTAATTCAGTTAATTAGATCACTGATGTGCTATATCTGGGAATTAAGTATAAGAGATTATATGTCTTGATAGTAGGAATTAATGCCCTTTCTGTGGCTTTGGCCTTTGCCCTGTAACTTTGTAGTCCCTGCTGATTCTGATTCTGTGCTGGTTTTGGTGACTTGTTTTATCCCATAGAATGAAATGGAAGTGATGGTGTGCCAATGAAAGGTAGAGCTCTGTGAATGAGCCTAGCCAAGGTTAGCGGAGGCTGGCCCGGATCAGCAGAATCACTGAGCCAATGCATAGGTTCATAAGATGTAGTAAATGCTTATTATTTTAGCCATTGACTTTTGGGGCGTAAGAAAGATGAGAATAAAATAAAATCATGGTAGAATAATGGCTACTATTTTCTTCTTTATGCTTTTCTGTATTTTCTAATTTTCTCTGATGATCAAGTATTATTTTCATAAATAGGAAAAATCAAAGAAAAGTGATTTTTTTGGTAACTTCTAAAGGAAAAATATCTTATTTTAAAAACAGAATTGAGCCCATAGTCTTAGAGATGTTGTCTTAAAATAACTTTGTTCTGGTCTCATTCAACAGTCTTGGCTTTCCTACATACAGGAACCAGATCATGAAAAAGAAATACAGAACTACTCTTTCATGGTCCGTTGCATGTAGTATAATTAAGAGTTCTAATATGATGCAATTCTGGTTTATTTGTAACAGATTGGGTGCAAGATTGCTGTTGTGATGTTCATTTACTTCTTGGCTACAAATTACTATTGGATCTTGGTGGAAGGTCTCTACCTGCATAGTCTAATCTTTGTGGCGTTCTTTTCGGACACCAAATACCTGTGGGGCTTCATCTTGATAGGCTGGGGTAAGGTATTTTTGTTTCCTTTCCCTTTAAACTGGATTATGGATTTCTGTTAAACCTATTGATGGAAACAAAGGCAAAAGAAAAAATTAAATTTCCTTACTACTTACAGCCAATTGACAAGTCCTTGAAACAGGCAGAGTGACATTCCTTTAGGAACTCAGGGGCCTTGATGTTGACACTTTCCTAAGGGCAAAAGGCAATCTTAGCTTAACATTATGCTGACTCCAAGATCCTGTAAGTCTTCTTTAACATATAAAAATTCCTTTGGAAACTTCCTTTATCTCTACTCCATAAGATACATATTAGCAATCATCCTCTAAGCATATGGCCCACTGATACTCATCTGAAGAGTCTCAGGACTGAGTTTTTACTACACAGTAATAAATGACCTTTTCTTAACAATAGCTAGCCCCCTCAGGGTCCTGGAAACCATGTTTCCAAAATTCCTTAGGGACTTATGCTAGCCTTAACCCCCTCTGAACTTGAAAGTGTACAATCAGACACCTGTCACAACCCCAGTGCCACTCTTTCTGCCCACGGGTCCTGTCCCCGTGCTTTCATAAAACCACCTTTTTGCACAGAAGATGTCTCAATCTTGACTGTTTGCTCCGAACCCCAACGTTTTCCTGTATCACTTATCATTAGCATACTTTCAGCCATTTTCCTGAAATCTCTCCCTATCTTACCTTTATACCTCTTTCTTTCTCTTCCATTGTTCATTGGGAAAGGTTATTAAGATCAAGTCTAAAATCCTCCCAGTGGTAACAAACTTTTCATCTTTAACTTATGGTTAGTGTTCTTAGGTCAGATTGTTGAGAGAATTCTTTGGTGGAAATATAAGAGAACGCATTGAGAACTGCTATGCTCATGTCTTATGTCAATGTCCTGATTTAGCAATAATTTTATCCTAAATATTTTGATTTTTAAATTTCTAAGCTATAGTGATGAATTGTTGATTTGTATTTTTATATGATGAGAATACCGGAAATGAATTTAAAAGATCATCTTGACTGCATTTAATGATACAAATTACAAACGAATTATGTAGACTTACCATGTCTTTTGAAGGAAATAATTCAAATTGCTTTCTGCATAAGTAATTTTTTAAAAAAGGATATTTAGCTCACATTCCAAAAATGCCTTCTCAGCACTACACTGGACTAGGCACTAACTCAACATGACATGGGGAAAGGATGTTCCTTGTTGAAATTTAAGAGAAATTGAAACTCGGGGCGCCTGGGTGGCTCAGTTGGTTAAGCGACTGCCTTTGGCTCAGGTCATGATCCTGGAGTCCTGGGATCGAGTCCCACATCGGGCTTCCTGCTCAGCGGGGGGGTCTGCTTCTCCCTCTGACCCTCTGACCCTCTTCCCTCTCGTGCTTTCTCTCTCTCATTCTCTCTCTCTCTCTCAAATAAATAAGTAAAATTAAAAAAAAAAAAGAAAAAAAAAGAGAAATTGAAACTCATATGTGGTTACAGTTAAGAAGCCTCCTGATCAACAATTGCAGATCTCCGTTGTTATTTTTATATCCACATTATAAGGGGCTCATCATAAGAAAAAAATTAACTGAGTGGCTCAAGATTTAATTTGAAGGGCTTTTTTTTTTCTCCTCCAAAATAAGAATATTTCTTTGCTTGTTTGGCTTTAATATTATTTTTTTAACATTTGAAAATGTGGAGTAGGGAATAATGAATTTCCTGCTAATTAATGAGTAACCTTTTAGAAGACAAAGGGCCTATTTACTATAACATTTCATTTATTATGAAATTATTATTGTGAATAAAGTTGTATTTCTGAAGGCAGCTTGTCTGTTTTAAAGCTCTCTCTTTGACTAGCAGTTACTAAAAACATAAAAAGGATATTTTATTTTTTAGGGTACTTTGGAAATTTCCTGAATAGTTTTTGATAGTTTGCCTTCAAATCAAAATTGTATCTGTGTACCAATGTTGTGGGAAACAAAGGCAGAAGAAAAATTATTAAATTTCCTTACTACCTACAGCCCATTGACAAGTCCTTGAAACAGGCAGAGCGACATTCCCCTACGGACTCAACTGCCTCAATGTTAATACTTTGCTAAGGGCAAAAGGCAATCCTAGCCTAAGCCCCTCATCCTCCAGGATCCTCTTAAGTCTACTTTGATGTATAAAAATTCCTTTGGGAATTTCCTTTATCTCTGAACCCCCCAAGATACGTGTTGGCAATCATCCCCCAAGCATATGGTCCACTGATATACATATGAAGGGTATCATGACTAAGGTTTCATTAGACGGTAATAAATGACCTTTTCCCAACAATAGCTAGTCCCCTCAAGGTCCTGGAAACCTTGCTTCCAAAATTCCTTAGAGACTTACACTATCCCTAACCCCCTCCCAACTTGAAAGTATATAATGGGCCACTCCTCATGACCCCGGTGCAGCTCTTTCTGCCCATGGGTTCGTTCCCGTGCTTTAATTAAATCACCTTTTTGCACCAAAGACTCAAGAATTCTTTCTTCTTTCTCAAGAATTCTTTCTTGGCCGTCGGTTTCGAACCCTAACATCTTTCCTACATCACCAACGTAATTACTAGAAATTGGCAAAGGTGTTGATAGAAAATTCAACAATGAATGTAGACATTTGTCTGAGTTACATTTTATATTTTGGATTTCTACACCACTGGTCATATATAATAAATTCTTTTTTTCTCTATGTACTTACTGGTTTGATAGCGACTCCCCCAGAACTCTGACTTGGTCTCTATTGATGTGATTTGAAGTGGGGTTCCTGAGTGAATGGTCAAGAAGGAATTCTTGAGACATTTTTCAGTGCAAAAATGTGCTTTTATTAAAGCTCAGGGACAGGACCCCTAGGCAGAGCTGTTCTGGGATTGTGAGTTGCAATTGATTATATACTTTGGAGTTGGGGGAGGTAAAGACAAAGGAAGTTTCCAAAAGGATTTTCATATGCTAAAGAAGACTTACAGGATCCTGGGGGCCTTGCTATTGTCAAACTAAGGTTGTGTTTTCCCTTTAGCAAGGCATTAACATTAAGACAGTTGGGAGTTCCTGGAGGAATGTCATACTCTGCCTGCCACAAGTATTTGTCAGTGGGCTGCAAGTTATAAAGAAGTTTAATTTTATCTACATTTCCTTTTGCCTTTGTTCTTCACATCCTCTATCACTCAGTCTGTTCCTCTTTAAAGTCAGGAGTTTGTCTCACTTAAACCTGAGAAACTAGTTTTCAGACCTTTCTGTGAAAAACAGAATGAAAAAAAAAAGTCCAGTGAGCTTCTGTATGCATATGAATTTCTTCCCTTCCTATACAAATTTATTGATTTGTTCACAAGAACTTTAGCGTTGGAATGATGACTACAGTAGAAGCATCATTACTTGAAGTGTTCTTTTCATCAGATGGTTTAAGAACAAACAAGAAAGCAAGTAGGCTTCCCATGGAAGCTTGCTTTGAAAAACATTTTACGAGATATATCCACACACACTTAATCACAATATAAAACACTAATAACCAATCTTTATGGAATTATGGTTCCGCACTTGGTCTACCTTCTGATTCTTTGTTTGCAACTCCATTAAAAAAAATTCTCTAGTCTAGGGTGTCTGTAACTATAGTAATATTGTCTAAAGAATATCTCCCCACTACTGGGGTGCCTGGGTAGCTCAGTCCGTTAAGGGTCCAACTCTTGGTTTCCTCTCAGGTCATGATCTCAGGGTCGTGAGGTTGAGCCCCCCAGTGAGTCCTTCCTCGAGCCCTGCATCAGGCTCCAGGCTGTCTGCTTGAGATTCTCTGCCTCTGCCCTTGCCCCTTCCCCCACTCATGAGTGTGCATGCATGTGCGCTCTCTCTCTCTCTCAAATAAATAAATGAATAAAATCTTTTAAAAAAAGAGTATCTCTCCATTACTTAAATGCAGCTACTATTTAATGAATTAAATACCTAAGTCTATTTGATTAATAGACAATTTTTCCCTTAGCACTGACAGTCTGATTTTAGAATTATCATTTTGATTTCTGACTCATTTTTCTAAACTCCATTAAGAAAAACAATGATCAAAAAACATTATAGCTGCTTTGCGTGATCTTTTGCTAGAGTAATTTAGAGTGAATCCAATTTCATAATTTCTTCCAATGATGTGATTTATCCTGATTTTATCATGTAGTCATGTCACCGTTGCCAAACTTTCCTGTAGAATATTTTCATATTCTGTATTCTCTGAAAATAATCAGGAAAAGATAGTACATTTCCAGTTTTATTATATTTGTATCAGGTGATCTCAATTCAGCAAATATTTTTTGATTATCCCATTGGCAGTAAATATAATTGAAATACAGAGATATGTGAAGTCTCTGCACACAATAAGCATGCAGTCTGACCCAGTAGGTTATTTTGTTTTGTGTTTGCCTTGTTCTGATCATACATATTATATTCAAAATATTTAATTTATAAGATCTATTCTCCAAAAAATTGTTTAGAATAGTCAATATAATACCTTTACACAGTTAAAAATCTTCAGCTGGCTTCAAGCAAAATTTAAAAACCTAGAAAAGCTATTTCTCCCTTTCCTTATGAGTTTTAATGCCATTACTAGTTCTACTGAATGTTGCCTTAAAGTTAAAATTATATTCAACAATTAGAGTCAATAAAAGATCGATATTTTAACCCTACTTTATGAAAGATACAGAATTTTTGAATCTTTCTGCTTATCATTTTCCCCAGTCTTTTTAGATGTAATTTGGGGTTTTACTCCTAACCATTTAAGATTATATAGATTATTACCTCTTTAAAAGAAAACAAATTATAGTCACATTTAAATTTACATTTGTAGCAGTTATGTAGACTTATCTCAGTGAGTTCACCTGGTTTCAAAATTTCACTTCATCTCCATCAATTTGATCTTTTAAGTTTCTGCCCCCTGGCAATATTTAATTCTGTAAACATATTTTCTTTTTTATTGTAGCTCTTCTGTTTTAGACTGGTCCTTTCCCACAATGCCTTACTCTTCTTCTAGAGCATTTTTTTTGGACTATAAATTAGATATATTTTTAAAATATTTCTTTTGTTTCCTGTAGCAATTCCATCTCAGGGGGAGGTAGCTCTTCTAAAGTTTCATAAATAGACACTCTTCTTTGTTGCAATGGAAGACTTTCATAGGCTTTGCAATTTTCCTGAAAGAGAGTTGTACTCATTCAGTATTGGCTTAGAGTCCCATGACAGTTGAGAACAATTCTGCCAAAATCATATGGAGGTACTTCTTGGTTCCTTAAAGGATGAAACATAGGTGATGGGTATTGAATTCCAGCATTCTATGATGAGTAGTGAGGGAACTGGAAGCATAGCCTAGAGCTTCATGTCTGAGCAGTCAACATAGATGGATTCCTAGGCGCATCAAGGTTTCTGGTTGGTAAGATACACAGTATGTCTGTAGCAAAGCTAGGCATCCTATGTCATGATGGGTCTCTAATTTTTAGAACTAACTTTACTCTTTATGGTCGACCTGTGATTTTACAATACTACAGTAGGACCACCGGAGGAGGGTAAGGCTGAGGTATGGTTTTATGAAGCTTCTAAAATATCTAAAACAAGATGAAACTACATAGACCAAGATGAGAAGATCCTTTTTACCCTCCATGACTTCAAAGCATCTCTGTTTTATGCAGTGGGCTGCTGCATAAGTTTTTATTTGAAGGAAAGGTTTAATTGCTAAAACATTTTGACTACTATTAGTTAGTCCAAAACTTCATTTCAAAGGAGAGTAGTAATGGAGCCACATGAGTACCCATATCTACTTATTATTAGATTAGAGATTGCCTCCCTCTCAGAGTCACTTATTTATACTGATATTTTGTGAAGATAGCTCTCAAGGTAAATGTATATATTGAGTGACATTCAAATTTACATTAAATTTACTTAAATTAGCACTTAGACTTAAAATAACATCTAAATCTCAAACATTTTCCCCTGTATTTATGTGTTCTAAATTATATAATAATATGGTACTAAGACTGGTGATGCCAAATCCTTAAATCCCAGAGTGGTTTTAATTCTTTTTCCTCCATGGTTGCCTCTGTGCTAGTTTTGTGAGTGAGAGTCTTCCAAGATGATGAGAAAAGTAATTTCATTAAGACATGGTATCTGATATAAGATGTTTGTTATAATTATTATCTAAAACAGAATTCCAACTCAAGCACCATTTTTTTTTTAAAGATTTTTTATTTATTTTTTTGACAGAGAGAGACACAGTGAGAGAGGGAACACAAGCAGGGGGAGTAGGAGAGGAAGAAGCAGACTTCCCGCGGAGCAGGGAGCCCAATGCGGGGCTCTATCCCAGGACCCTGGGATCATGACCTGAGCCAAAGGCAGACGCTTAACGACTGAGCCACCTAGGTGCCCCTCAACTCAAGCACCATTGATCAATGTGTATAGAACATCATTCAGGAAATTGCTTGATTGGGAGATTGTAAAGGAAGCAAAAGATAAAGACCTGGAAATGAGAAAATGTGAAAATTCTGATCAAAGACAGATACTTTTTAAAGATAGCCAAGGCAGCAGAACAGTAAAGGGAGCTACATCAGGCCTTTTGAATCACCCTATCAGAAGGAGCTCTACTCCATTATACAGCATCATTCTTGTTTTTAATTCATAGCGCTGATTGAACCAAAGTTATGTTATTAATTTTGCATCTCCTTCCAGAATATGCTTCAGAAAAACAGGGATAGTGTTGATCTGTTTATTGTTTTATCTTCTGAAATTAGAACAATCCTTGACACATACGTAGGCACTTAATAAATGGTTATGTGATAGATGGATGGATGGACGGATAGGTAGGTGGGTAGATACATAGACGGATAGAAAGATAGATAAAATATGTGAACTGAACCTAAGAAATAACCAGAATTGGTAGATCTGTTTTGACAAAAACAGTTTCCTGGAACATAGAATTCGAACATATTTTTTTATAATGTTTGAAATTTAGATGTTCTATGCAAACAATAAATAAAATTTGAATGTGGAATCATGAAATTAAGTGGCCACACAGTCAGGCTGAGGTTAAATTCAATTAGATGATCACTGAGGAAGCCAAAAAATTTTCTATTGCAGTGTATCATCTTATTTTCACTTTTAATAGCGTTTTTCTTCATCTGAACCTATTCTTTTTCACTTTTTTTGCTAAAAAAAGAATATTTGAAAAATTACAAATGTGTTTTTAAAAGTAAAGAATTTAATATTGTGCTTAATAAAAAAATGTTCTGAGTTAGATTAAAACTTTTTCTCTCCCTTTTAAGGTTCTTCTTAACTTCTGCAATGTTTCCATTATGCTCTGTTTCCTTTCTTTAAACCACTTTCATAAATTCCACAGAATGAGAAGTTGTCCATTAAATCCTTTGGTCTGTTTTGTTGTGTTCCATAAAAGTTATGATTTGTGATTTTTTGTGTGTGATGTCAGAGTCCAATCAACTATAACATGAACTGAACAGTCAGCCTTTACCATGGGCAGCCTTTTCAGACTCGTGGAAAGTAGTGTAATGGATTTGACATTGCAAGCTCACGAGGTGTTTAACATTTATGAGTGATACATATCTCACACTCAGATCACCAAACTCACATAGCGGTCACCCTTCCCTATGGTCTAAATGCATGCAAATGCTTGTCTTGAGCCATTATGAACCCCCCAAAAAGAAGAGGCTAAACTGATTAAAACTTCCCAATTTTATAACTTCTCAGTATGGCTTCTCTATGGCTTGCATTTTTAGAATGGCTAAGTTCTAATTTTTTATATGACATCAGCCTCCCTGCTGCTCCTCATGAAGTCTGTCATGTTGCTTCACTCCTCCTTGAAAGCATGTAGCTGTCAGTGTGGCAAGAGTCAAAGCCCAGTGCTCCAGCGGCTGCCGGCTTCTGGCCCCAAGAACTTCCTTCCCCTCCCGTATAGCTTGATCCTACATCCCTCAAGGGAAAATTGGGCCAACCTTCTATCTTTAGACTTTCAGGAACAAATGACAGCAACGTACTTGGCTCATTTTTTGAGTGGACAAGATGAAAACCAAGTGGAATTTCTTGTTGAGATATCAACATTTTTCATTTCTGTTTTTCTCTCTCAACTTTCAATAGTATGTTCTTATGTGTGCTGAGTATGGGATTAAAAATTCCCTTCATCTTAAAGTAAATACAGTTTCTGAATCCCTTTTTGATTGCAGGGTTCCCAGCTGCATTTGTTGTGGCCTGGGCTGTGGCACGAGCAACTCTGGCTGATGCAAGGTGAGTGAAAAAGGAGAGGTAAGGAGAGCACTTCAGATTTTCTTAAGACTCATGCTTCCTGCCTGGAATTGACACTTGCTGCTGCTGTTGATTACATATCCGCCCCAGGGATGTCATGTAGAAAGTTACCTTGATGTGATTGTAGCCTGTGATACATTATCAGCAAGCTATCCATCCCAGAGGTCATGGGACAGAAAGACTCACCGACCAGATTAGGATGCTTGACCTCTTTAGTTTATAATATCATTTTTAAAATATATTGTAAGAAGTAAGGGGAAGGAGATGGATAAGTTAACACACAGGATATGACACAAGCCTGTGGAAGGACCACACCACCTGAGTCCCAGGATGGGCAATATTCAGATCTGTGCCACATCAGTCTTCTCCACTTGACAGTGTGGGTGTGAAGACCAGAGATGAGGTTGCAGCAAGGAGACCCACAGACAGAAGGTGCCTTAGGCCAATGACACACATTTCCTTTCTCATATTGATGGGAGGCAAGTATGCCTGGTCATAGCTGTAGCTTACCAGTTAGCCTGCTAAACAGCTTTGGGTTTTATTTGTGTTTCTTGGGCACAGGATATGTGGGCATGGGTTTCACCAATCAGTGGCTGAATTAAGATGTCAAGAATATTGAGCACTTCCTGTGTATCGGAATATTTTGTGCCTCATATATTTGGTGTATAATGAGTATTTATTTATTTATTTATTAAGATTTTATTTATTTATTTTAGAGAGATAGAGAGTGCAAGTGGGGGGAGAGGCAGAGAGAGAGGGAGAGAGAATCTCAAGCTGACTCTGCACTGAACACAGAGCCCAATGCAAGTCTTGATCTCATGGCCCTGAGGTCATGACCTGAGCCAAAACCAAGAGTTGAGGCTTAACCAGCTGAGCCACCTGGGCGTCCCAGGTGTATCATGAATATTTAGTGCCCAGTTATACTTATGTTTAACATGCATGGGGCCCACTTATTACCTACTTATTTGAATTTGATACAAACTATGGGTTTCATCCATCCTATTTTTTTTTTGTCTTCTATAGCAAAATTAAATGTTTTCAAAAAATAAAACAAATGCACATTAGAAGTGTAATCCATCCTAGTGATTCACTAGGATGTTCAAGTAGCCTGGGGTTAATTTAAAGTGTTATGGAACCCGGACTGGATCACCTGACGGAAGAACCAAGCGGCACCCGGAGATCTTGGAGGATAGGAGGTTTATTTGACGCCGGTGGGCTCAGAGGAGAGTGGTCTCCAACGGTCTGAGCCCCGAGCACAAAGGGGGAAATTTCTACACTTCTTCCGCATGCTTGGCACTTTTGGTGCGTGCACAAAGTGGGGCAGGGAGAAGGACCTGGATTGGTGCGCTCAGGAAAGCAGAGCAAGGAGAAGAACCCGGAAGAGTGCTGAGCAAGGACTGGGACTCTCTTGATGGCTCGGTCGGCCATCTTAGGACACAGATTTTCCTTATCAAAAGCAGCATTTTATTTTATTTATTTTTAAAGATTTTATTTATTTATTTGAGAGAGAGAGAGAGACAGAGATAGCAAGAGAGAACACAAGCGGGGAGGAGAAGGAGAAGCCGGCTCCCTGCTCTGTGGCGCTCAATCCCAACACAGCACTCAATCCCAGGATCCTGGGATCACAACCTGAACCCGAAGCAGACACTTTCCCGACTGAGCCACCCAGGCGCCCCTAAAGCAGCGTTTTAAGGTACAGGGCAGTGATGCTGGGTGATAGTGAAAGATGCTTTTTTAGACTTAGGCAGACCTGAGTTCAAATCTTGGGTTCAGCTATTAGTTTTGAGACCAGGGGAAACACAGATGATCTCTTTGTATGTCCATTTCTTAATATAAAACAGTGATAATAATGTATAAATGACATTAATACAAACAAAACATGGCACAGAGCCTGGCAGCTAGTAGGCACTAAATAGGAACATGATGAGAAAGAGTTCAGGTGCAGGTTACTCACAGGCCTGTTCTGCTACTTCTTGGTTCCCTGACAATAGATGCACTACCTGACTTCTCTGAGCCTTGGTTTTCTCATTGATCAAATACGGATAAAATGAATATTACTCTCCATAGGGGTGTTGTAAGATTGAATGAGATAATGTACATAAAACACTATAGGGTTTGGAATAGTAAGTACTAAATACTTAGTAGCAAGTATTATTCCTTTGATTATTTCATTAATTTATACCTACACATAATGTCTGATCAAAACTAATGTTTTTGTTTATTGTTATTCCATTAGAAAGCAGGACTTACCCTTTCATTAATCCTAGCTGATGTTGATGTTTATCCTATCAAGTCAGTGGAGCCTTGATTCTGCTAAAGTTAAAGTTTAAAAGTGAGGCTGGAGAAGAGATGGGGGCCAGATCTTCCAGACCTTTATAGGTCATATCAGGATGGTTGGGGTATTTTTCAGTGATAATGACAACAGATTTGCATTTTATAAAGATCATTACCAGCATGTGGAGGAAAAATTGGAGAAAAGTAATAATAAAGATGAAGCTAGCATTTTTGAATGATACCCACATTCCAGGCACTTTCTAAGGGTTCTGCAAATATCAATTTAATTGCACTTCCTATCAACCCTATGAGACTGAGGCCAGAAAAAGTAGCTGGCATTGCACAGCCAGCACAGGTTGTAGAGAAGGAATTTGTCTAGAGAGTTGGGCTCCAGAGGCACTCAACAAATACTATGGGCAGACTAGAGGTTTCTATTAAAATCAGTGATATTTATTTTCTGTGGAGGGAGGAGTGTTACAGAGGGATTCCTTTTACAGTATCACTGACAGCTGCTCACCCTTCAGTTGCTTAAACACCCCTGATAATGAGGGTGCACGGTGGACAATGCCCATTGTACACTGGACAGTTTTTCTCATTCACATGATAAAATTATATCTGTAGTTCATGGTGTTCAGAAAGTAAAGCCATAGCTACAAGTACTCTACCATTTCAGTGTGTTTCAAATGCTCTGTTCCCCCATGTAAAATCTTCTTTATCAAATTCCTGTAGCATTTTGTATGTAGATTCCAAAATTATCTCTTTCTTACATACTATCTTATTTCTCTTGACATCATTTGTAACTGTCAGATTAAAAAAACCAACACCTATGAATTACAAATGGGCAGGAGTGAAAATCTCTGTTTTTACAATAGAGAACTGTCCAATGCTTGCTGATCAGTTCTTATGGATCTATTTTGCCAGTTTCCTCTATTTGCTAAGGGTCTATTGAGCCAAGATAAAGTTTGACTCAGTGCAAGTTGTGAGTTACTAGGAAATGTATTTTCCTCATCCATTCGTTAGTTGTGGCAGTTTCCCTCAGTCTCAGCCTTCCCATTTGTAAAATGAGAATATTTGTGGCTATGAGTAAGATTGAGTCTGCAGGGGGTAGATTTGAAAATCAGGTAAGAGCCCATTTATGAAAAGACTTTATAAACTCCAACTTCTATACAAACATTATGTTAATAATTTAGGGTTAATGTTATCAATTATCATCATTGCTATATGTACACAATGATACTGGAAATGTCAAAGAAGACTTAGAGTGTCTGCTATTTGATTTCTTGGGGGGTGGGTTGAGTCAGTAGAGAGGTACTAGATAATGCTAAATGATTTTACCCTGAGATGGGGAACCATATAACTTAGATTTGAAATTTTAGAGAAGGTAAATCCTAAGGCATTTTTTGGTTTAATCCCCTCATTTGAGAGATGAATAAAATGAGACCCAGAGATACCAGGTTGCAGCTTCATAGCCTGTAGCAATTTTGACTCATTCATCCATTCAACAGACATTCCAAGCCTTGAGCACAGAATGCAAGCAAATATATTCACAATGCATTTTATATTGAATTAGATAATTAGTTTTCTTAGTTATCTTGTATTATTTCTTGAAAATTATAAACTAAATCATAAACCATTAATAGTCATATGTATTTTCAAGGAAAAAATTATTATTTTTCAAGGAAAAAAGTTTATTATTTTTGAGGCAAAGAATCTTTTGCTACATAATATTTAAAAAAAATGCAACTGACATTGAATATTGCTCTAAAACAGTTGAATTAATGTAAAAAAATTAAATGTTAGATCATGTGACTCCTCTGTACAAAACATTTATTCTTACAAACTCAGAATAAAATCTTGAATTCTATAGTGTCCTGATCTGAGCATGATAATTGGGTTAAGGGGTCATTTTATATTTATTTTGCATACAAACTAAAACTGTATTATCACATACATGGCATGATTTCAAAATTGCCTAATTTGATTTTTCATGGAATTCAGCTTGTCTCTAGATAGAAAGTTTTTGAGGGTTTTCTTGATAGTAATCTGACCTACATATAGTCCTCTGTCACAAAGTTCAGGTAGAGAGAGAGCTTGGAGCATCTCCAAAGGAATTTGGGGTCTCTGTCCTATCGCTTACATTTGAGATTCTTCTTTTTCTGATTTGGCCTTTCAAAGCCTGAAATCTGATTTTCTCTGCATCTTGGCCATTTAGAGTTAAGCAAATCAGATCCAGCTTTGGAAGACACTCTTAATGCTATTGAATATACAAAGGAAGTCTTACAGTTCTAAAATTCTACCAAAAGTTATTTGGCTAAGGTAGGGTAAGAAAGTTGAATAGTTTCGATTGGACAAATTGGCTTAAAAAGTGAGTATTTTTGTTTCTCTTTCTTTTTACTTGCAAAAGCAAAACACCCTATAAGATACCTTATCACCTTCTCCCTGCTCATGCAAAGGAAATGGAATGCCAGCAGGAAAGGTGGGTCCCGTAATACGAAAGACCAAGAAAAGATAGCCTCTGTCATTTCTAGGAAATCTGCATGGCTCTCAGGGCTTCTGTACTTCCTCTTCTCAGATTGTGAGTTATGGACACAATGCAGTGTTCATTTCCCTGGATCTCTCCTGCAGAATAATGCATTTCCTATTCCTAATCCTGGCTGTAGAAAGTTCTATTTTCTAGGCAGGCCTCTGTGCCTCATCCTCAACTTTCACAACTGCATTTTTACTGACATTCATTTCTCCATTTTCTAGAGTGTTAAAATTTCATTTACAAAGTCTGGATAGAGGGTAGTTTCTGAGCCTTGTTAACAAACAGTGTGAGCTGGGACAGGGAAGAATTAATGAAAAACAAGGATTAATAGCATTTTCTTAAAAAAAGAATCTGAAATCTCAGTTGCCTTTCATATCAAAGTGCAAATTTGAAGCTCTGACGTCGAAAACTATCAAAGGCAAGTTTTTCCAGTTTTTAGAGGTAGCTGATTTTGACCTATTTCCGAAGTATTCTGCAGAGCTGGAATTGGGCAATTGAGTTGCAGTGTGTTAGGAGACACAATGATGAATTGTTACTGAGGCAAAGAAAGAATATTGTGAAGATACTACCAAATGTAAAAGCAAAAAGAAAATTTACAGAATCCAGGAGTCTCGTAGCTAGTGAATCTGTATTCAATTTATATTCATACAGTAAAATAGGCCACTTTCCATATAGTAGAAAACCTTTTTAGGGTAGTGTGATAGATGTTCTGCACAACTCAGGAACACTCTTTTATCCTTCTTGTCTGGTTGAGTAATGTGAAGAATAGACGCGTGCAAATAATGCTAGGAAATGTTTAATAATGTGCAAGTGCAAACTTTCCCTGTCTTTGATAATTCCATGTTATGCAAACTTCAAGTCCATTGACTTTGCAGATTTCAGTGTGGTGGGGCCGGAATTACACTTTGGTCTTGAGGTCTAGTTGATTCAACTGTGGTACATCCTTCCAATGGAATGCTGTGTACTGAGCAGTCTTGGTACTGATATGGAAAGAAATAAAAAATATACCGTTAAAAGGAAAGAGCCAGTTGCAGAAAAGAGTATACATTGCATTTTTTGTAGGGTAAGGGAAAATAAGATTATAATATCTGTATCTGTATATGCATAAGAAAACACTGGAAGCATGTAAAATAAAGTAATAAAAGATGTTACCTATAAGGAGAGAGGCAGGGGCAGAGGAAGATAGGAACATGGGAAGGACTGAGATGTCTCAATGGCTGTCTTTTTATACAGTTTGATTTTTGAAATGAGAATGTATTGCCTACATAAAAATATTAAAGTGTAAAAATAATATAGTCATCACGTATGTACTGAAAATGTTCTACTTTCAAGGAATAGTTGAAATAGCTTTTTATTATCCAGAATTTGTTCATTAATTTAAAAGTAACTTATTGATAAATTTATCATCTAAAATTAAATAATTATCATTATATACCTAAAATGTCTTTTTTTAAAAAAGATTTTTATTTATTTATTTGACAGAGAGAGACACAGCGAGAGAGGGAACACAAGCAGGGGGAGTGGGAGAGGGAGAAGCAGGCTTCCCGCTGAGCAAGGAGCTCCATGCGGGGCTCGATCCCAGGACCCTGGGATCATGACCTGAGCCGAAGGCAGATGCTTAACCGACTGAGCCACCCAGGCACCCCCAAATATTTTCTATAAAAAGTTTTAGTATTTTATTAACTGATAAGAATATGTAGTAAACAGTTTTGTTTTTTTTTTAAAGATTTTATTTCTTTGACAGAGGGAGACACAGCGAGAGAGGGAACACAAGCAGGGGGAGAGGGAGAGGGAGAAGCAGGCTTCCTGCTGAGCAGGGAGCCCGATGCGGGGCTCGATCCCAGGACCCTGGGCTCATGACCTGAGCCAAAGGCAGATGCTTAACGACTGAGCCACCCAGGCACCCCATCCCTAAAATTTCTTTATAAAATTTCATTTATTGTCCCCGCAATCAATGCTAGGTTTTGTCTAAGGAGAGAGAAACTGAGTCTTTTATTTATGGATCTTTAATGTATAAAAACTGCTTAAAGCACTACATTGAAGTTTCAAGTGGAACTAGTTTTTCTCAACACTGTTCCAAACCAGTATGAGTGAGATTGAATCAAACTTATTTTGAATTCAGTTCAATCCAACAAATGTTTGTTGACTACCTATATGTTCTGTATTATTCTAGGCACTTATAATACATCAGAAAATAACAATGATCCCTGTTCATGTAGAAACTAAATTCTAGCTGGGGTGGGAGTGAAGCAGAAGATAAACATAACAAATAGGTAAATTATATAGTGTTTTTATTAAGTACTGCTAAAAATGAACTTTTAAAGTTAAAGATAAAATCACGGATTTTATGCAGATATAAAATGAGCACTTGTCAAAGATTTTTTAACTCACTAATTATGGAGGGAAGCAGTAAGAGGTTATAACTTGTTCAAAGAAGAACTAAATCACATGCCTGTATTTAGCAAAATGAATATTGAAATAAATTTATAAATACATGCAACAATTCAGTATTCAGAAGGCGATGATCAATCACATTCCACCGAACACAACTAGTTTTCATTTCTATGCACAAAAATCATTTGCATCTAGTTTTCTGTTGCATTTCTAACCAACAGGAATCATTTGCATTACTGTCAGCTTTCTATTGCATTTTGATGGATAAGAATGATTTGCATTCTTGTCAGTATTCTCCAGTATGTGGAGGTGTAACATAAAATTGCTAGAACTTCTGGAAGTAAGAGGACTTTATCTTTCCAGTGATAAGAAAAATGAAGTATCAGGTGCACCACATTTATTTATTTATTTATTTATTTATTTAGGATTATCTTTGAGAGAGAGAGAATGGAGGGGAGGGGCTGAGGGAGAGGGACAGGTGAAGCAGACTCCCCACTGAGCGTGGAGCCTGACATGGGGATCTATCCCACAACTCTAAGCCAAAACCAAGAGTCGGACTCTCAACCAACTGAGCCACTCAGGCGCCCCCATGTGCACCACATTTAAAAGACAGTAATTTTTTGTGGCTCTGGAAATGTGTTTTTGAATCTTATTGCTATAAAATAAACAATATTTATAATACTCTATAGCTAATAGTACAGAAACCAGGACCCATTACACATTTTTTTTTTTTACTCGTTTGAGTGTTTTATGAGGTTTGTTTTTGTCTACTTATTTTTTAATCAAAAGCTTGGGACTGGAATGTTCAGTAAAACTTAAAATGCTACTTTCTCACTGCCTATTTGCTTTGCCAATTTATTCATGAAAGTTTTTTTCATGTCTCAGATGCTGGGAACTTAGTGCTGGAAACATCAAGTGGATTTACCAAGCCCCAATCTTAGCAGCTGTTGGGGTAAGTGTTAAAACCCTGTGTCATGGAAAGAAAGAAAAAGGATGCATAATTAAACTGCTGCTAAAACCAAGAGAAAGTGTGCCTCTTACTTTGTCCTACAAAGGTTTAGTAGACTCACATTACAGCAATAGCTGTTAGGAGAGTCTGGGCTGGGGATCATATCCATATTCATGGCTGACACTGAGATCCATGCAGAAAGCACATACCCTCTCTTTAATGAGCTAGCATATGGGTTCAGTTCTGGGGCTTCAAAGTATCTGTGAACATTTACATGTTCAAGCAGCTGGAAGGTCCTAAAACTCTTCCCCCTTTACATCCATTATGTTGGAGCTCCACTTTAAGGTTCTGATCACTTGGTAGTAGGTCAGGAGGAGGAGGCAAATAGCCAGAGAACAGAGGAATTACTAAGAGAGTGAAAAATGATAGTATGATTCATTATAAAGCATTGACTAAAGCTCTTACTTGGCATGCCGTCCCCAAGGAGTTAAGTTGATTCCATATGGAAACATATCCCGCAGAATACTGTCTGATAGATCATGGGAAAAAGACTGGAGTAAACAATGCATGCTGTGAGGACCTTTTTTGTCTGTAGTATTTCACCTACATATTACATGTGTATTGTGAAAGAAAACAAAGTTACACTTCTTTGTGTCTAACACAACCCCCCAAAATGTTTATTCTTGACTTCCCCTGAAGGTTTTATCTCATTAGCTTCTCCATGATTTGATGAAGAAATTATACTTGTATTAATTCAAGATTATAAACATCTTAAAAAGAGGACTTATGTTCCCATATTAACTGTTAAATCCCTTGAAAGTAATGCAGCAGCACAATTTTTAACTAAATTTTTTCTTGGTCTTTGTTCTCCAATTTCTCACATTTCTCATTTTGTTTTCTGTAGCATAAGGCATCACTGGGTTTGTCATTATGTTGTCATGCTTGATGACAGAAGGACAGCTATTAATGGGACTGAGGTTTTGTAGGATCTATCCAGAATCAGAGAAAACCTTATTTATCTCATAGGAAAAACACAGAAAGAGAAATAGAGAAGCTTGAAAAGGACTCTTCATTTCAAAAGTAAATGTTTATAGGGGGAAATAAAATGTAGAACACTTTCAGAGAAGCCAGTTTGTATCCTTGCTAAAACAGCCTGTTAGCAAATTAGACCCCATTTCAATGTCCTAGGAGAAGCTGGAAATGGACAGTGGATAAATGAATGAATGACTTAAATTTATGAACTCTTATCACTTTAATTTTAATGAAGTACTTCTATTTTAGTCTGGTGATAAACCATCCCATTAAACCATCTATTGATAAACTATATCCCTGGGGAACATCAGTGAACTTAAAGATACAAATTCACTTTATAAAGTAGTGTCTGGTGTTTACTACTCTGATTTCCCTTTTATCCACTGATATTTTATCCTCGTCTGTGCTTCCCAGCCTTTCATTTTCTTTCCTCCGAGTTCCTCCTCCACTGTGTTTGCTTGTCCATCGCTTACCATCCTCTTTTTAAGGGGATAACTCAGGTCTTATTACTTTTTTGTGTCCTCAGCGCCTTGTACTGGAATCGTGAAATAAGAGATAATTAAATATTATATGAAAATGTAGGCAAATTTAAGAACATTAAGTTTGAGTTTTCATTTGATGAAAAGAAAAGACATATTACAACTCCAAGAGATCCTTGCAAAATTAAGAATTGAAGCAAAGGATCAGGTCATGATCCCACGGTCCTGGGATTGAGTCCCACATTGGGCTCCTTGCTCAGCAAGAAGCCTGCTCTTCCCTCTGCCTGCCTCTGTCTCTCTCTGTCTGATAAATAAATAAAATCTTAAAAAAAAAAAAAAGAATTGAAGCAAAGGACAATGGACAAAAGTAAATCATAGGACATCCTCCATTGAAACAGTTGATTTTTAACCAAGGCTTTGTTTTTTGTTTGCAGATCTTAGTTACTCACATTGTCAACATGGATGAGAAGTTTATTTGCTGAGGTTTCTAAATTGCAAAGAAAAACAGTAAAGTTTGGTGATTATAGAGGTTCTAGAAGATTCCCCATTGGGGAAAAGGGAAAGAGAGCTAGAAATGATGGTATACTCAATGCATATGCATTTTAAAGAAAACTTAGATGGAAGCCATTTTCATCTTCTTGAGTTAAATGATGACACCTCCAAAGCAAGAATTCTTAAGTGTATTTCCAATATCACAACATCCATTTAATTTCAAAAATCATAGTCATGATCTCAGGGTTGTGAGATTGAGCCCTCTGGGGCTCTGTGCTCAGTGGGGATTCTGCTTGAGATTCTCTCCCTCTCCCCCTCCCCCCATATGTGCTCCCTCTCTTTCTAAAATAAATAAAAAAAAATCTTTTTAAAAAAAATCAGAGAAGATTCAAGAGCACCTTTCTGTTCACTGAGTTACCTTTTTGTTTTAGTATAACAATTCAGTTATCACAGTTCCCTTTAAGATGCCCTCACTTTACTGTAGAACCAGGGTGTAAAGGAAGAGATGTGCCCCAAAACCCATCCTAGTGTTTTGAGTGAGGTGCTCCTTCCTCTCAGCTGTTCAGTGTCCTGAAGCCAGAAGGGATGATGCAAATAATAACAATAAACACTGCATAATGCCCTGCAGTGGGCACTGTTCCTAGTGCCTTATTTACATAGATTTATCTAATCTTCTAAATGAAGAAACTGCTCAAGATCACAGAGCTCGTGAATGGTAGAGTGGTATTCTAACTTCAGGGTCAGTGTCCCTATCCAATGAACTCCCTGCACATAAAATAAAATCCAACATCCCCAATGGTCTAGGGAAGACCCTGTCACTCGTGCCTACACCCTTTACATGCAATACCTCAGCCGTGTTGTTTTCCTTTCAGTTCCTTGAACCTGGCCACCTCTGCCTCCTCAGGGCTATTCCATATTCTGTGCTGTACCCTCGGAAGCCTGGGATGAGCTTCCTTCTATTCCTCAGTTTAAATGCAACTTTTTCATGTGGCCTCCTTGATGCCTCCAATCTAAATTAGGTCACCTGTTACAACCCAAAGAGCAAGGTGAGGTTTTTCCTTCTCAAGATCATCACAATGTATAAAACTTCTGATTGTTGAATGTCCATCTTGTGCACTAAGCTGTAAGGTTTATGTGAACAAGAACCATATTTTTCCTAAACTTCTATATTTCTAGTGCCTAGCAAGCTTCCTGGCACATAGTGGCCACTCAATAAATACTTGTTGAAAAAATAAAGCCCGCATATAAAGCAGATGCCCTGGGGAACCGGTAAGAGGCAAGAGGTGAAAGAAGAGCACAAAGCAAAGTTCGGTATGATTACAGAACCTCTGAGTCTGTTTCATGCAACTTTTTCATTTCTAGAGAAGGAAACTAAAGCCCACACAGATAAAGTGTGACAAAATAAGACTATAACCACATTTTTTGACCGTGTTCTTTTCACTTGTACTCCAAAACATGTCAAGATTGTTTCTTGAATTTATGGGAAAAAGATCTTTCCATTTTTCAGGTAATATTTATAGTTTTTTTTTTTAAAGATTTTTTAAATTTATTTATTCATGAGAGACAGAGGGAGAGAGAGAGAGAAGCAGAGGGAGAAGCAGGCTCCCAAGGAGCAGGGAGCCCGATGCGGGACTCGATCCCAGGACCCTGGGATCATGACCTGAGCCGAAGGCAGACGTTTAACCATCTGAGCCACCCAGGCGCCCAATATTTATAGTTTTTTGTAAATTAACTTTGGATAAAATATTTGTTTTTCAGACTTGCATTATATGTAGCATGGTTTTATGTAAATAGATATGTTCCATATATGCTATCAAAAATTATTTGCCAATACTTTAATTTTAATTTTTTAAAGATTTATTTATTTATTTATTTTAGAGAGAGTGAGCGAGCAAGCGTGAGTGTGTATGTGTGTGTCAGGGGGGGACAGAGGGAGAGGGACAGAGAGAATCTCAAGCAGATTCCTTGCTAAGCACAGAGCCCAATGCAGGGCTTGATCTCACGACCCTGAGATCATGACCTGAGCCGAAATCAAAGAGTTGGACGTTTACCCAACTGAGCCACCTAGGCACTCCACCAAAACTTTTAAATATAAGTTGGATCCTCCACTTAATTCTGGCTTTGGATATTAGAATAACAGAAATTCTATTAATTGGAATTTTGTGTATCTGAGAGTAAAATCTGATAAAATGTGATCAGAATTTCTAAGCAATATAGGAAAGAGTTTGTAGAGGATAAGCATTTATAAGTTCTAATTTGAAGAAGTTCTATCAAGAGAATTGAATTTTAGACATAATCACAGACTTCAGTATAAATTTAGGAGAAATCACTTGATTTTGGAATCATAGAATCTAAAATTATTGCACTGTTATCTGTGTTTTGTTCATATGTGTTAAAACTATGTTTAAGAGAACTAGAGTCATAAAACATTAATTTTTGTTCTGAAAATAAATATCTGCAAACATAACAATTTGTTATTCACCTGTAACATGTTGATGTTGATTTGAGGATGATTTTTATTTTTATTTTTTTAAAGATTTTATTTATTTATTTGAGAGAGAGAATGAGATAGAGAGAGAGAGAGAGCATGAGAGGGGGGAGGGTCCGAGGGAGAAGCAGACTCACTGCTGAGCAGGAAGCCCGATGCGGGACTCGATCCTGGGACTCCAGGATCATGACCTGAGCTGAAGGCAGTCGCTTAACCAACTGAGCCACCCAGGCGCCCTTGAGGATGATTTTTAAAAATTCTTCTATAGGGTTTGGAGAGTGCATATCTCGTTCAATCAGTTATCCATTCACTCATTTAATAAATCTTGATTAAATACCAAGAACATTGCAGGTGCTGTGTGAGGCAATGGCCCATGATACAGTCAGGAGATAGACATGAATTCTCCTGAAGCTTAAGCAGAGTGGGTGAGGCAAACACATGTGACAAGTGCTGTAGTGGGGCTGGAACAATTTCTGAGAAAAGCTGACATTCAACCTGAAACCTAGGAATGAGCTAACCTAGTAAGGAAGGGAGAGTGGAGGGAGTGGAAGAATGATCCAGGCAAAGGGGACTCTAGGAACAAAGTCTCTGAGATAGCCTGAGGGGCCAGAGGTTTCAAGGCTGAAATTTGGAGTTCTTTGTTTCAATTCATCTGTGGTTCACTTTGAGTACATCTTTAAATTTTTAATTGAGAAAGAATCTAATGTTTATATTTGCATTATTTAAAAACCATATTTGCATAAAATTTGTTCGATGTCTGACTGGTTTTAATGCTTATGAGTAGTCATTTTATTCACCTCTCAGTGTCTTCTTCGTTTTATCTGTACTTTGCCTGAAGTAGACCTTTAAGCAAAATTTTAGAGGAAGTTCACATGAGAGATACAAGGACTCTCTAAATAATTTTCTCTTAGAATTATTTCTACATCTTTTTTAAAATGAAATTTTAAAAATCTCACTAGAAGTTTCCACTTGGTCTTGTTCTTTTTCACTCCATTTGCCCAGTGTATAATGTCCATTTATACAGGCTCAGATCTTCCTTTAGCGCAGGAATTTTCTTCTCTTACATTTTTATTGTTCAATTTATCATAATCTTTTCTACAGAGAGAGAAATAAATCTGCATGATGACTCTCAATTCCATGTCGTCCATGTAAGCATCTCTCCCCTCATCATATGTGTCTTTGTTCCTTATCCCCCCATTTGGGAAGAGTCTTCAGTGGTCTTCCACATTGCTGAATGTGTTCTCCTGCTTTGTTAGATCTACTGTTTGCTGTTTCTAATATTGATTTTAAAACTTGATCATATTTTAGATTCTTAACAATCTTTTCTTAATCCATCCTGCTCTTTAAGAAATTTCTGTCTCGGGCGCCTGGGTGGCTCAGTTGTTAAGCGTCTGCCTTCAGCTCAGGTCATGATCCCAGGGTCCTGGGATCAAGCCCTGCATGGGGCTCCCTGCTCTGCAGGAAGCCTGCTTCTCCCTCTGCCACTCCCCCTGTTTGTGTTCCCTCTCTCGCTGTCTCTCTCTCTGTCAAGTAGATAAATAAAATCTTTAAAAATAAAAAAGAAATTTCTGTCTCCATCTCAATCTACTATCACTCAACTCTCTTTTATGGGCAGCATGGTGCTGTGGTTGAGTCCCTGCTGCATATCATCCAGGCTGCATGGGCCTCAGAGCTCTGCCACTTGGCTGGCTATGTGACCAGGAATAATGAGTGGAAGCTGTTACTCAGGTTCCTAACCCACAAAATGGGGGCAATGATGTACCTATCTCATTGAACTGTTGTGAAGACTGAGAGTCAATTCATGTCATACACTTAGAATAGTGAACAAGTAGTCGATAACTTAGTTCCTAATTAACCTTTATTCTATACTTCCCTAAATTATTCAGGGTAATTATTTGGAACTTTACCCAACTGGGGTTGGAGCTATCAGTATGTATGTACATGGGTATATTTTGTTAACTGATCTTTTAAGGCAGCTAGGTTTTTGTTTTTGTTTTTGTTTTAAAGATTTATTTATTTATTTGACAGAGAGAGAGAGCAGGGGGAGCGGCGGAGGGAGAAGCAGGCTCCCCCCTGAGCAGGGAGCCCCACACGGGACTTGATCCCAGGACCCTGAGATCATGACCTGAGCTGAAGGCAGACGCCTAACCGACTGAGCCACCCAGGCGCCCCTAAGGCAGCAAGTTTTACCCAATCTTAGTTTTTCTTAATTCTTTCCATAATCCACTTCATTGTCCTTAAATGCATCTTCTTAGTTATTAAACTGATGTATTGGATGTGTGTATCTTCTTTAGTCAAATTTCTGCCAGTTTTCAGTATTTATTTGGTCTACTCGCCTGAGAACAGAGTTCCCAGTCATGAGCTTTTTAATAGGGATAGAGTTCAGGGTTGGCCTGTCTGAAGCCATCTCTAATTCTTCCTTTTCCAGGGATAGGAACTGACCAGTGACACTCCCCAGCTGGCACTGCTCCCACGGTGCTGCCAGCCTCAGTGCCTACCCCTTTGTCCCTTGCACAGTAATTACACAGCATCGCTTTCCACCATTTTCACTCCCAGTCTGCACCGTATTGCTGGGGGCTGTGGTCATAGGGAGAGTGGAATTAACGGGACACGGCATAAGTGGTCATTCAAAAAGAAGCACTCATGTGACATCTGTGAGCAGCTCTCACCCTCTTATTGAAAAATATTCTGTGTCTTGAGCCAGGTGTTGCAGTGGGTGAGGATGAATGGGGATCCTCAGCTCTCATGTTTTGCATCTTTTTATCCTCCTGAAGAGAAGGTGTAAGGTGGTGGTTAAGAAGTCACAGTACAGACCCACATAGACATGGTTCAGATTCCCCTAATAGCTGGGTAGCATAGGTCAAATCACTTGATCTCTTTGAGCTGGCGTTTCTTCATCCATAATAAAGGGACATAAAAATGCTTCTCCCATATTCATGCGAGTTGAACTTGAGTGCTCAATAAATGGCAGCTCTTACTAGCCTGAAGAATCCTTCTTCCACCAGCTCACAGCACACTTCTGTCCTTCCTCCCAGGTATGGGACTCATGACTCAGCCCCTGGTTCCTATAGAAAGCTGTGAAATTAGTGAGAGGTGAGAGGTTCCTACAGCATAGTCAGCAGTAGGATGGCAAAGGAGGTGGCAGGGGGTTAAGGGCTGATCCAGTTGATCATCTGTATCAGGGAGTGGGGCACATGAATTACCCCAAATTCTCTAAATTCCAGAAATGGTTGAAAACACTACAAGATGATTTGTTTCCAAGAATGCAGAACTTGATGGTTCTTCTCTTCCTGCTATTACTCTCCCACTGACACAAACCTACTCTTGACAATCTTCTTTTCCATTATTCCTAAGTAGTAGCATTTTCTGGACTGCAGGCATCTTCCTGAATAAAGGGACTCTAGGGGTTCGGGCTTCTCCTTCCTTATGACCCTGGATCTGGAGATCTTTTCTTTTTCTTCATTTTTGATCTCTTCACTTCCCTTGAGGCCCTCAGACATAAAAGGGCTTATCCTACCAACACCTTCTCCCCGTTTTTAAAACCAGAACTTGATTGTCCCTGGGGGTGCACACACCTGTAATATTTAAAATTCAATCTAATTGCTTGCACTGGGGGCCTTTTCTCATACAACATCTTGTTTGTGTATGTATGTATCTGAGAAGTGTTTAAAAAAATTTTTTAAATTGAAGTATAATTAACATACAGTGGTAATATTAGTTTCAGGTGTACAACATAATGGTTTAACAATTCTTATGTTACTCAGTGCTCATCAAGATAAGTGTGTTCTTAATCCCTTGTATCTATTTCATCCATCTCCTCCCACCATTTGCTTTTTCAAAAAAACCTTATACTTCACCCAATACTTTTCATATGTCATAAGAGGGACAGCATCCCCCAAACAACTCTATTATTCCTCTCCTTAAAATAGATACAGAAGCTGGGAATTCATTTCAAAAAGGGCAGTTGGTTATATTTATATAATAAGTATTATCCTTTATCCTGCCAGTCTGCCACAGGACTTTATCTGAACTTTGGTTTGGAAATTCCCCATGGATTCTGGCAGATCATCCTCTGGTATTTCTAGTTTCCAGTGCTGTTGAAACTTTTTATCTCTATGTTTTCATGAGGGCAACTCAAGAATCACTAGCTGTCCAATACCTTATCTCAGAGTCCCTCATTCACATTTGTGGAATAGGTAACTTTCAGTTTTGGAATACAAAGAAGTTCAATTTATATAAATTTTTATAAAAATCTTGAAGGCTACCTTAATAATGCTTTGTAATATTACCTTCTCTTTCAGCTCAATTTTATTCTGTTTCTGAATACCGTTAGAGTTCTGGCTACCAAAATCTGGGAGACCAATGCAGTTGGGCATGACACAAGAAAACAGTACAGGTAATTGCAGGACAGGCACCCACCAGAGGAAATATTTGGGTTACTATTTAGAGTAAAGAACAGATACTGATTGATCTGAAATGTCTCTGAGAGATAAATTTATGAATATGAATTTTCATTTGGTTTAATTGTTTATCAGAAAAGTATATGTATTTTAGGAAAATATAAATAACCCAAAACCTTTAATGTGCTTAAATTTTAAGTATTAATTAATATAATTTTTTAATCTGTTATTAGCATATTGGAATTTTCCCATAAACTGTGTGACTTCCTAGAAAATCTCTTTTTGATGATCTTGGCAGACAATTTTATCTGCATTCTTAAAATAATATCTTCATAACTGAAAATATCAAGAAAGTGAGTTTGCTGTATTGTTTCCTGTCTGTCCATCAGACTGGCCCCTACTGAATATAAATTTTTAAGAACTTTCCAATGTACTGATTGGGTGAGGTCCATTATTCAATCTTTCAAGAAGAAAAGGGCAAATTGAGAGTTTATGATCATTATCGAACTGTCTTAAGCCAACTTTTTCCAATGATCATTTTGGGAGTTCTGGATAATAGCAGCCTCTACCCAACTGGATATACACATCCATTAGTCTGGTGGATTTGGATTGATCTTTATAATCCAAAGGCAATAACTACTTCTTTTTGTCTTGGATTGTTATGAAATGCTATCTGAGACACAGAAAGGAAGAAACCATAGTCAGCATTTTGGTCCTGTGTCACAGATGTTCTCAAAACCCTTTGTTGAGTCATTTCCCTCTACTGTTTAGGCAACATCCCCTGTCAGACAGAAAAGATGATGGGTATGGACTGGAGTCTGGAATAGGATGCACAGTATGAACAAACCAGCAGCTGTAGGCTCCAGTAATTTGTAATGTGCTGCAAGCAGTAGTGTTTTAAAGTAAATTGTGCTTAAGAGTTTCCAGTGAAGGGCCATTGCTATACTCATAGCATGGCTCATGTTGCATCCCACTGATGAAGACAAAGGCCAAAGGATGATACAACAATGGAAAATGTAAATAGCCTTCCACTCTTCTCTGTAAAGTGGAACAGTGCAAAGGTTTTTGAAAGCTGTTTATTTCTCTAGCCCTGAATAAAAGCTCCTTATTTCTTTAGTTCTGAATGATGTGAACTTATACTTTCAGTTAAAAGTTGCCCAAGAGATTTGAGAAACTCTGGAGAGAACAAAGGGTGAATTATCTTAAAAAATAGACTAGACAATATTTTGAGTTCATTCATAGGAGATTATTTCTCAAAATAATGGAAGAGAAACATTTATCAAGGATTAAAATAATCTACTATTCAGAATTCAGAATAAATTTTAAATAATCTGGGGCCCGGAAGTTTTTAAATTTTGGAGCCATTAATTTGAACAGGGTCTAGACCCTGAAAGTATTTTCCAACCAAATACATTTTTTTTTTTAAATAGCTGAAACAGTATTCTTACTAATGCCCAAAGTTAAGCTACAGATAAAACTATGGTGAGGAATAACTCTCTTTTTGGAGAGAAAAATGTGGGTACTTACTTGGCAGTGATTTGGGAATTCAATTCAGTATTTAGTTTCTGAGGCCTTAGATTACCAAATTTAAATACCTTCTCACTTTGTAAATAAAGAGACCTAGAAAAATGTAATTTGTGTCTTTGTCCAAGTGAAATTCTATCTATGAGGTTCAACTGAGTATTTCAATTTACACCCACTTATTTTTTGTACCTTTAAACTTATATTTCAGTTGGTTATTACCTTTGTCAAACAAATGTTCAAATATCAAATATTCTTGTAACAACGAAAAAATATATGTATATTATATGTATATTTCCAAATGGTGCCATCTAAAACAGTTTTTAAACACATTCTCATGCATATAACTCTCTGAAAGACTGAAAACATCTTTCAAAGCTGAGATAGTCTCTCCCAGTGAGCATGCACACATACACAAAGGAAGACTTTAGAAAAGTACATTGTATCCCTTCATTGATAGTGGCTTAAAACTGAAATGAATTGCCTTCAACTCAGGTCATGATCTCAGGGTCCTGGGATCAAGCCCCAAGTCAGGCTCCCTGCTCAGTAGGAAGTCTGCTTCTTCCTCTCCCTCTGCTCCTCCCCACTGTTCTGGCTCTCTCTTGCTCTCTCTCTCAAATAAATAAATAAAGTCTTAAAAAAAAAAAAACTGGAATGAATTAATACAATCAGCTTTTAAGAAATTGTTTATTTTGAGATAACTGCAGAGTTATATGCAGTTATAAAAGTAATACAGAGATAAAATAAAACATGCAAGTAATAGAGTTGTAAAAATAATACACACATATATGTAATATATAAAATATATACCCTTTACCCAGTTTCCCTCGAAAGTGACATTCTACATAACTGTAGTTCACATCAGTAATTTTAAAACAAAAAGGATTTTTAAACACACAGAGATTGTGTAGAAAATTAAATAATCTATCAGATTTAACAACAGGACTAATGCATTATTTTGTCTTTTAAATTACAACCCAATCCCCATGCAAAGTAAGAGAAGATTGCCAGGACTGGAAGAACATGAGATATGAAAGATGCAAAATTCAGTGGAAAAGAACACTTGAGTGTTTTGGCTAATTTGACTTTCCATTCAATATTAGACAAAAATTACATTTTTTATTTTTTATTTTTGGAATAAATTCAACCAGTGTTTGTTATGCAATATGGTAGTAAAGAGGACAGATTTTAAGGTTGACTTGTCTACTAATTGTCTAACTTTGGGTGAATACTTTCCTTTTCTGAGCCTCTATCCTCATCTGGACATAGGAAAATAATGGCTCTCTCACATGGTTGGCAGAATAAAAGGAGGCATCCAGTACAGGATGTGACAGGGGCATGATAGCCAACAGCTTCATTGACTAAGTGCCCTTCTTGTGCCATGCAAGAGATTCAAAGTTAAGAAGACATGGTTTCTGCCTGCGAAGAAAATTTGAGAGAGAGTGAGAGAGAGATTGATTTAATTAAAGTGAGGACAGTGCCAGTGGAGATGCACTTACAAAGTGTTATGTGTATAGAAGAAAGGGAAGGATTAATTCAAGCTCAAGAGGGATTGGAAAAGGCTTAGGGGAAATATTACTTTTTTAAAAAGCTAACTTGACTCTTAAAAGTGGCGATTTCCTAGCATTTTTCACCTGGGGAGAGAGATATTGCAAGAATTGGGTATCTATTTTCTAAGTAGGACGCTGAGTCCCACACACCATTTGATTCCTTTATATTCCTCCCATGGCTTTGCCCTTGGACGCAGAGCCACCACCATGTCTCCAGCAAGGCAGAAGGCCACTTTCAGCTGGTACACCCCTGATCATCTCATTAGACAGCTGTGCCTTTTCAGAGAGCCAGGCTGCAAAGATGTACAGTGTGGTGTGCATGAGTGACCAGATGGACGCTGAGCAAATCAGTGCCCAGGATGGCTGCATGATTCGATGTGAGTGGAAAAATCCATCCTTATGAGTGAACTGACAGACAGATGACCCATGTATACATTGGCCCAGCATATGCCACTACTTCAACTTATTCACCGTCATTGAAGGATACATTTTAAAAGAGGATGTAATCGTAACTCTTACACAAATATAAATGAACACACCTCAAAGATTTTATTTCACTCATTAATGAAGGAACTGGTAAGGCATTACACATGCTTAAAAGAGAATTATGAATGCTAAAATGAATTTACAAATGGATGCAAATTAGCAAATTGTTAACATCCACAGAGTATAATTAGTGGCATTCCATTGGACACAATTTGCATTTCTATGGACAGAAATTATTTGCATTGCTGTGGTAGGCAGATTTCTAAGATGCAACCTCCAAGATTACTGCCTTCCTGGTGTACATGCCCTATATAACCCTCACCCCCACACACCTTCTTGAGCAAGACCTATGATGGGATAGTATCTCCCTTGATTAGGTTACATTATATTGGAAAGGTGATGGAGTAGTCACTCCTGTGACAGGCAGCCTGGAGAGAGATCCTCCTGCGGGCTTTGAAGAAGTAATCTGACATGCTGTGAAGGTCTGTGATTAAGACCTGAAGGACCTATGGCTAGGACCTCTCCGAAACTGAGAGAGACTAAATGGATATTGGTTTAAGCCACTAAATTTGTGGTAATTTGTTTCATAGCAATAGAAAATGAATTCAATTACTATCTCGTTTTCTCCAAATTAACTTCTATCTCTACAGAGTTGTAAAAGAGCCTAATCATAGATAAAGAGAGAGAAAAAACCCAGATGGCTGAGCTAGCACGAGTTCCACTAAATTTAATCTAACAGCTTTTTCTTACTCTGCATTGATCCAAACTGTCCCTAAACTTTTACATTTGTGATCATTTCACAATGTGTTGTATTCTTTCTCCCTCTCTCCCCTTCCTCCCTCCTTTCCTTCTTTCTCCTTCCTCCCTTCCCTCCTCCCTCCTTCTCTCTTTCCCTTTCTCTCTTTCTCTTTCTTTCCTTTTCTTTCTTTTTTTTCTTTTCTTTTTTCTTCTTTCTTTCTTTCTTTTGTTCGTTCGTTCGTTCTTTCTTTCTTTCTTCTTTCTTTCTTCTTTCTTTCTTTCTTCTTTTTCTTTTAACCTAGTTTTTGGCTCCAGTCACACACAATAGGAACAATCAAAGTTAGCTTGATTTTGAGTATAGTCTCCAGGGGGATTTATCCATTCATCTTAAAGGAGGAAATGCAATTTTCTTTTCAGAGTGCTGTTAACCAAGACTTCTAAAGTTCTGCAAGTGTAGTTAATGCTGTCCCCCCTTTATCTGATTAGACTGAATTACAGTATCATGAAGGTACTCACAGTGTCTTGCTCATATATGCAGTGATGGGAAGAGGGTAGTCACTAGTCAGAATTCAGGAGGACAAGCATATCCCAAGGAGCCTCTGGAAGTTGAAAGGATGAGTTAGGTCAGAGAAATCCATTGTCTTATCAGGGATGCTGCCTTGAATGAAACAGACTTAAGGTAGAATTTTCAAATTAAGTAGACTATAGGTGAGTCAAGGTAGGAGGTGTGGGACTAGAGCAACATAGGAGAAAGCCCACAGGCCACCAGGGAAACTATGGGTGTGAGGCAGAGCAGATGGCTCCGAGCCAAGAGGAGCAGGTGGTCTGGGCACTACTGAGAGATACAAGAGGCAGAGGAGAATGAGATGGGGTAGGCGTGCAACTCCAAATGCCTAAATTAGGCATTTCAGTATGAGTCTGTGGGACACCCAGCTCCTGTAGGAGCCGGAAAGATGGTTATAATGGGAAAATGGATGTATCTGGAAGATGATCCTCCCTAGGAAAGCGTTAGACTGTGAGAGCTCTTATAAACTTCTGGGCCCTGTTCCCACATTTTAGAAAAAAGAAAACTGAATTACAATCACTCAGGGAGTCAATGGCACATCTAGAACCCAAATCCATTTCGGTTTAGCTTCACCCACACAGCTTACTTCCAAGAAGAGAACTAAGTATATAAGTAAGTACATAAGGAAGGAAGGAAGGAAGGAAGAAAAGTAGCTGGAGGTAAGACCAGTAAGAAAGAATTAGCCAGATTTGACAGTTTCTTGGATAAAAAGTACAAAAGAACACATGGTGTGCTTGGGTGTACTAGCTATCTGCTGTGCAAACGGATTACCGCAAACGTCTGTGGCTTAAAACAACACACTTGCTATTTAACTGTTTCTGTAGGTCAGGAACCTGGGCACGGTTTAGCTGGGCCTCCTGCTTTAAGATCTCTTACGAGGCTCAACTGACAGTCAGGACTGCAGTCTTACCCTAAGACTGGGGAAGAATCCACTTCCAAGTTTATGAGATTGTTGACGGGATTCAGTTTCTTGCTGGCTGGTGGTCAGTGTCCCCTCTCCTTGTCATCTCTCCCACTAGCTCACCACATGGTTAACTTGCTTCCTTGAACCAAACAAAGGAGAGAGTTTGCTAGTAAAATGAAAGTTACACTCTTATGAAATGTAATCACAGAAGTGACCCATCATTTTGGCTGTAATCGATCAGTTAGAAGCAAGGTCCAGGTCTTTGCCCACATTCAAGGGGATAGGATTAACAAGAATGTAAATACCAGGATCATTGAGGGCCATTTTAGAATCAATCATCTTAGAAACCCGGGGTTCCTCCAGTTACACAAGAAAATGTATATGAAGAGGTAGTTAAGGGAAATAAAGTCAAATTGCTTAGCTTGCCAAAAAAACAAAAAACAAAAAACACAAAACCTAGAACTATAGATATTTTGTAGAATATTTGACAGAGGATATTTAGAGAAAGTAGAAAGTATTGGCCACATGAAGTTCATAAGAAAATACGAAATGATTAATGCAGATCCAACTAGGGAGTAGTTAATTTTAAAATGAACAAAACAAGTCAAAATGTGGCCTATGAAAGTAAAGACAGTTAACATGGATTGAGGTAATACTTGTTTTAAGTCTCAAACATAGATGTTAAAATAAATTTAGGACAGAAAAATGGGCATTTCATGGCTTTATGAAAATAGTATCCTAGGCCAGGAGAGTGGAGATGAGATTAGAAAGATTTAAGGTATAATAATCACGGGAAATGAGAATAAATGACTTGATGTAGTATAAAAGGACAGGAAGGGGTGGGGGAAGCTAGCAGAAGCCATGGGGTCCAAAGAGATGGAAAAAATGCAGCCCCCTTTAGCTCTGCTAAGCTTCGCTTTTTTCCCAGCAAGCTGTCTCTACTGACAGGCACTCGAAGTTGATGAATAAAAAGGCTTGGTATTCTCTTTCAGGAAACTGGCCAAATCAACCCTGGTCCTTGTGCTGGTCTTTGGAGTGCACTACATTGTGTTCCTGTGCCTGCCCCATTCCTTCACGGGGCTCGGCTGGGAGGTCCGGATGCACTGTGAGCTCTTCTTCAATTCCTTTCAGGTAGAGAGCACCAGCTAGTAATGTAGTTCTTGCATTTTACTTTTATTCCCCCACCCCTTGCAACTTTGTTCTCTGCCCTTCTGTCTGGCTTTCATGGACCTGTCCCCAGAGGGCCATGAAAAGGCCATACTCTCTGGAGCCTGTGCTTTTAACCTCTGACCATTGCAGGAGCTGCTTCTCACAAACACGCCTGGGCAGTGAGACAAGAAAACATTTTGTTGTAGAATATGTAACACGTATAGAGCAGCGTGTGTGTACGGAAAATAAACGAAAGCCAAAGAAAAAGCAGACAGGGAAGAGGGGGGAAAAGGGAAAGGGAGACAACAAAGAAGAAAAGGTAGCTTCTACCCATTTTATCTCATTTGAAAATATGATTACCATCACCCCTCACTTGGCTTTCTGTGGACACCTGTCTTCTCCTCCTGGCTACTCGCTTGCTGCCTCCCACTGCTGCCTTAAATCTAGTCTCCATACAAGGGTCTGAAGGATCTTAAAAATAAATATGATCATGTCCCTTATCTACCAGAAGTACCCAGAGGTTTCCCACTGCACTCAGAATAAAATCCAAATGCCATTTGCTGGTGTGCACAGCCCTCGGGGCAGGGATCCTGTCCAACTGTGTCGTCAAGTTCCATCAAGTTCCCGGTTGCCGGCTAAGTTTGAGCCCCACTAGTGTTCCTCAAGCTCATTCTTATCTCAGGGGCTTGGACTTACTGTTCCCTTTGTCTGGAAGGCGCTCCCTGCTAATATTCACAAGGCCTGGCTTCTTTTCACTCAAACCAGCTTAAATGGTCATCTCTTCAACTTGGTCTTCATTCAGTGTATCTTCTCCATTCTTCTCTTTCATACCACTTGTTTGGCCTGCATAACCCTTATAATCTTACATTTTTCTAGTGTGGCTAGTTGTTTATATTTTATCCATCATCTGTATTTCCTTCTAGAATGTAGTCTAAGGGAACAGGGACCTTCTCTGTCTTGACTGAATTGTTTATCCCTGGCATGCTGAGCAGTTTGCCCTGTAGAATATTTATTTATTTATTTATTCAAAAATAAATATTTTTGAATGAATGAAACAAAAAGTTTCGTTGTCTTTTTACCATAATAGCCTATGTCTGTAGTTTCCAGGATTCACAGTGTATAAATATCTCTTACCAACCAGGGAATATTCTGTGATCCTTGAGTGAAAACATAAATGAAGCTAATATAATAGAAATCAGTTATTTGTGTGTTTTGGAGTGTTTTATTCAGTTACTTGTTTGGTTCAGCTGACACCAAAGAAGGATCTCAGAAAAATATAAACTTAAAGATTTGGAAACACCAGGAGAGAAGAGTTCATATAATTTTCCGAAGGAAGCATAACACAACCCAGGTTTTCAATGTATGTGTTGTGATACAAGACACCTCAGTGCCGTGATCTTCTGGAGTTGTCAGCATGCTAACTTTCTCTTTTGTTCCCCAGGGATTCTTTGTGTCTATCATCTACTGCTACTGCAATGGGGAGGTAGGTTTGAAGAACCCCCCCCGCCGGACATCCCACAGCTCTAGCTCTGAGTAAGCTTGTAAATGGTCATCGCGGTGTGACCTGAATCTCTTTAGGATCCCCAGGAATTACAGGAAAAAATGAGCAGGGAGAAGGGAGATATTTCAATCATACATGATTTTGAGAGAGCAAGAATTAATGTAAATAGGCTAGAGTCTTTCTCTTCTAGCACTTTTCAATGTTAATTCAGTTGGAAACTCTGATAGCAAAAAACCAACTTGTTGGAATGTAAATTGATACTTGGAAGGACAGTGAATTCCATATTTCAGTCAATACTTAAACTGATATTCAATTTCAAGTTCTCTAAGAAACTAAAAAAAAGTTTTCTTGGGATAAGAAAGAATATTTTGATATTTTCAAAACTATACAATGATGACAGGATGCTTTCAGTTCATTTAGGGGTTGGCTGGAGAGAAGTAGCCCTACTGTTCTTTTAGGTGAACCAGCACACCAGATTTCCACTGTTTTCCACGGAACTTCCAGATAAGCTCCTTTTTGGTAAATGGCAATAGCAGTAGAATTGAATCTTCAACCACAGGTTGGAAGCAAGAGTCCCACCCCATCAGTAATGCATTTGCAGTGCCTGCTTTTCATGTATAAGCTTCTTCCCCATTCTTTCCTCCTTCAGTATGCCTATGCAAAAGTGATAGTATTACATTTCAGGTTGAGTACCTTCCATGCCATTCTTCAGCCGGCTGGCACTATTTCTCTCTCCTTCTCTTCCAACCCATAATCCTCTTTTCCCTCTCCCACAAGTCAGATCTTTCTTTCTTTTTAAAAAAGATTTACTTATTTGAGAGAGAGATGGATCGCGAGCAGGGTGGAGGTAGGGGCAGAGGAAGAGGGAGAGAATCCCCAGATTCCCGGTTGAGTGCCCAGCCACCAGGGGGCTCTATCCCAGGACCCTGAGATCATGACCTGAGCCGAAATCCAGAGTCTGATGCTTAACGGACCCAGCCACCCAGGCGCCCCAAGGCAGATGTTTCTATGGGCTGCATTTCAAATTATATAAAATGCTAATCTTGGATCAGTCCTTCACCTCTCTCAAAGCCTCCGTTTATTCATCTCTGGTAGGATACCTATCTCCAAGATTTTTCAAGGTTGAGAGAGAGTATGTACATCAAGTCGCTGGCACACAGTGGAAACTCAGTGATCACCATCACTGAAGGGCAAAGGTCCATTGTAACAAGGCTGCAGGGTCTCCTTGATGGTTTCTGACGCACAATGTTTCCTGCGACTTAGGTTCAGGCTGAGGTGAAGAAGTTGTGGAGTCGGTGGAATCTCTCCATCGACTGGGAAAGGACGCCCCCCTGCGGCGGCCACAGATACGGCTCCGTGCTCACCACGTTGACCCACAGCACCAGCAGCCAGTCGCAGGGGGCAGCCAGCGCTCGCTTGGTGCTCATCGCCGGCAAAACCACCAGGACGGCCGGCCGCCAGCCCGACAGCCACGTGACTTTACCCGGCTATGTCTGGAGTAACTCGGAGCAGGACTGCCTGCCACGCACGATCCATGAGGAGACCAAGGAAGGGAACGCGAGGCTGGGAGAGGAGATTCCAATGGTGGAGTCTCCCAGGCCCTTGGAATTTAACCCAGACCCGGAAGGAAGCAGAGGAGAAACAGAGGATGTTCTCTGAGTCAACATCTGTGACTTCGAAGAGTTGGTCCCTCTGGTTGTGTTAGATGAGCTTGGCTGGCATTCCTTTGCTTGAGCCCCAGAACTGAAAATTCGGGGTTCAAAGTGTTACTTCACAGAAGTTTTCAGGTTGCATGAATTGGATTCTATAAATAGTAAAGACACAAAAGGAGAAGTGTCAGTGGAGTAGTTTATTACCTTCTTTTGGCATTAAATTCTCTTCTAAATTGTTGTGTGGTACTTGCTCTGTGATTGTTCATTTTTTTCCTGCTACTTTTGGGTAGAAAACGTTTCAATTGCTTGGCTCTAGTTTTCTCTCATAAAAATATCACTCTAGGTATGATCGAGATCATTCCATATGTGTTATTTCCCTTTTAAGAAATTAGCATCCTCTTTTTCTCATTTTAATGTACTTCTACCATTGCATTCTTCTTGCCTGTGCATAGGAGCAATTAGGGTCTGAAAACATACCTTGCACAATGAAAGAGCTAAGCACAAGTACACACTGGAAAAAAAAAGTGGCTGGACTTTGATAAGATAATAAATTTGTGAAATATCTGTTTCTTTCTAGAAACAAGGAAAATTACTCCAAATAGTATTGTACCTATTCCTTCTTTTGAATGTCTCCTCTGTGACCAGCCAAATCTCAGGTCTTCAGTCCTCTGTAAACCTTGACATGCCACCTGGTTTGCTCAGTCAGTGAGCTTGTGTCTGCAAACTGATTCTGTTTGTAATCATTTGTACTGATAGTAAGGCACACTGCATCTGTGCCTTTTTCGTCTTTGTTGTATTACTATATTCTAAATGGCATGTGGAATAAATTAAAAGTTGGTTTTAAAGATACATTTTGGGTCACTTTAAAAGATTTTCTCTCAGCATCTAACTTTGTTTTTGAGAACCAACCAAATGTTCCTTCTTCAAAACTACAGAGATCAGCATGTAGCTCCAGCACTTTCCCGAACTTGAAACTTCAGTCTGTTGCAATAGTGAAACATTTATTGAGTGTATGTCAGGTACCCACCATCCTGCTGGTTTTTACAAACATTAACTTTTTTAATTCTCACTGCAAACTTACGGTTCAGTTTTATCATTGTCACCCTCTTTACAGATGACAATGTGACTCGTAGAGGTGGAGTAACTCACCCAAAGTTGCACAGCTAGACATTGATGGAACATGGTTTCAGACACAGATCTACTGACTTCAAGTCCTGTGTTCTTAACCATTATGCTCCACTATCACCAATGTTTATGTTTCCCATTAACCAATCAAAGCATTCAATTAATTTCTTCTGGGTAGAGAGTGCCTAAGAACTCTTAATACATCTTAGCCTCTGACCTTCATGACATTTCCACTCTAGTGGGGTAGACAAATATATATAGGAAATGAAAATATTACAGAACAATGTGTTTCTAAGTGAAACAATACAGGTCAAGCTCATCTGTCTCATTTTGCTGAATGATTTAACCAACATGCAACTGGTGTCATGATGAATAAGGTACCCTGATGTCTACACACTATCTTGAAAAATATTATACTTTCCTTCTATGCACATTCTTGCCTTCCTCTTCTGTGCCACACAGAGGCAATTCCTTCCCAACCCGTTTATGAAGGTGCCATTGTACATATTTAATTCATCTGATTCTATGCTTTATTGTCATACCCCATGCTGTCTTCTTATCAGGAGAGAATGATCATGGGCTGAAAGATTAAGTTCAGTTCTATAGCTAATTTTCTGCAAGTCTTTATAAAATCACTTAGCTTCCTTTGTAGTTCAAGTTTTCTATCTTTAAAATGAAGATAATATTCGTCTACCTTAGTGAAATGTTCTGGTGGTAAGAGAAATCACATATTGAAAGCACTTTGTAACATAAAAATACCATACAAATACTTGATTTGGGTTGCTGTTACATTATAGTTTCAAGTTAAAATCTGGCTTTGCCCCATTATGTTATAAAAGATCTTATTGGTCAGTGCAACATAACAATTGTTAGAATATCTATTTATCTATCTATCTATCTATCTTTTGATAATATGGAAAATATTAAGGGTTCTTACTTTTCTTTTTTTTTTTTTTTTGAGAGAGAGAGATCATGCGCGTGCATGTGCATGCACATGAGGTAGGGGGAAGGGCAGAGAAAGAGGGAGAGAGAGAATCCCAAGCAGGCTCCATGCTGAGCATGGAGCCCAGCATGGGGCTTAATCTCATGAACCTGAGATCATGACCTGAGTTGAAATCAAGAGTCCAATGCCCAACTGACTGAGCCACCCAGGCACCCCAAGGGTTCTTGCTTTCTAAGCCAACCCCACATTTTAAGGCTAGGTCACTACTCCTTTATGTCAACAAGTATGAGTATAATCCTCAGAGTAATCAAAATTTTCTTTAAAGTTCAGTTATTCATTAATTAAACAAATATTTACTTAAAGCCTATTATGTGGCAGATACTATGCTATGTGCTGGGGCCATAACAAAACATAAGGCATGGGATGCCTGGGTGGCTCAATTGGTTGGGCGTCTGCCTTTGGCTCGGGTCATGATCCCCGGGTCCTGGGATCAAGTCCTGCATCCGGCTCCTTGCTCAGCGGGGAGTCTGCTTCTCCCTCTGTCTGCAGCTCCCCCTGCTTGTGTGCTCTCTCTTCTCTCTCTGACAGATAAATAAATAAAATCTTAAAAAAAGAAACAAAACATAAGTCATAATCGATTCCCAATAAGGAATAAAGAACCCCTTAGGTGCATGCTAAGGCTCTTTACCTCATCTGTGTACACACATTTTTCTTCTAGGTTTTGATGTTTGCATCCAATTAGACAATAAATTATACCACTCTTGATTTTATCAAGTAAAATACCAGGTAGTTACCAAGGATTGGATGATCTAGATTCAGAGGTGCAAACTACTGGATGGTTAGCTAAATTTGGTCCATGGCTTTTGTTTTATTGCTCTGTCAAGGGATTGCAGTATATTGTTAAGTTGCCAGTCTTGAAAATATGAATGTTTCCACGTAAAAGTTATATTTTCTGAATTATAAAAATGTCAGACAATCTTATGAACCAAAAATCAGCTGTTAGAGCTGAGTGGTGGTTGACCTCTTCAATGGGGCAACAAAGGCGCTAGTATACCCAGTGCCCACCTGGCCTCATCCACTTATTTCTGTTACCTGCCTGGGCTCCAGACCCCTTTAATCTACATCTCTTGATCTAGACAATGCACTTACATAAAACGTTAACAATAGTTTTCTAAAATGTTCTTGTGGAGTGACATTCTATATAATTTTAATTTTTCTAAAAAAGTTAAGCAACCAAGTATTTATTTTTTATTTTTTTGCAATCAAATATTTTTATGTGTAGTGGCATTTAGGCTTGAAATCCTAAGTATTCTGTTTAGATGAGTCTATTAAGAAGAAAATTCAACCCACAGTTTCTGTGCTTTCAGATCCCAACCACACTATGCTTCACTTTCTAATTCATCACTCTGACTTATTGCTAACACAACATATATTTTTCTCTTTGGCAATACAGCAAGTTCTAAATGCAAAAAGGACTGAATAGTATGGTAGATTACAGGGGTGTGTGAAGACAGCCATATATGGCTTGTTAACATGCATATTAAATTTTGATACCTTATTTTCCTGTAGCCAAAGGAAGCCTGATATCAGAGAAAATAAAACTCCACTGCCTAGTATAAACAGGAATGATTTTGGTTATGTAACTCTTGCTGTCAGAGCATTGTCTCTTTCTGCTCTTGTTAAATCAAATGGAAACACCTTTGCTAAAGTTGCTGGAAGAACTCCACTGTTTTTGAATTGTTGGAAGAGAATGAATAAGGTATGTGTGAGATGCAGTATATTATTTACAGCCAGAGATTAATAGTATATGATTCAGAAGTGATCTTCCTTAGAGATTATGGTAGGTAGAATAATGCTTACTAATTCCCAGAACCTGTGACTACGTGGGGTTACTTGGCAAAGAGGAATTAGGTTGTACATGGAATTAAGTATTGCCAATCAGTTGACTTTAAAATCAGTGGATTATCTGGGTAGGCCCCGTGTAGTCACAAAGATCCTTAAAAGTGCAAGAGGGAGGCAGATGAGGAAGTCAGAGTGATGTAATGTAAGAAGGAATGCCTCTTGTTGCTGGCTATGAAGATGGCAGAAGGGGCTATAAGCTGAGGAATGTAGGCAACTGGAGAAGGCAAAGAAACAAACTCTCCCCTAGAACCCGCAGAAAGAGTATAGCCCTATTGACACCTTGGTTTTAGCCCAGTGCACTCGTTATTGGACTTCTAACCTACAGAACTATAAAATAATCAATTTGTGTGTTTTTTAAAAAAGATGTATTTTATTTCAGAGAGAGAGAGAGAGAGAGAACACGAGTGGGAGGGGCAGGGGGAATCCCAAGCAGACTCTGCACTGAGCACAGAGCCCAATGTGGGGCTCGATCCCAGGTCCCTGAGATCATGACCTGAGCTGAAACCAAGAGTAGGATGCCCAACCAACAGCACTACCCTAGCACCCCTCGATTGGTTTTGTTTTAAGCCACTAAATTTGTGGTAATATGTTATGGTACCCATAGAAACCTATTACAGAGATTTATATAGATGGTCCACATGGAAAGAATTATAATGGCTGATTAGAATTATGCGGAATAATTGCTATTTGTCTGCTTGCTTCATGGAGATCAATTATTTTCCTAGTGTTTATGGTATTTTGTGTGATGCGTTTATTGCAGGGAAGAAAGTCGCCTATTTACCGAACTCACTTTTTTTTTTTTTTACCAGTGGTTGTTTCATCTTAGAAACATAAATTTTTATCAGTAAAGGCCATTGTCATCTCTTCTAAAGAGTTACTAAATATCTGGTTTTATGAATAGGATTTCAATCTTTGACTCTTTTTAGGCGTGCTCTGCCTATGTCCTCCACCCTCAGCCCATCTCTGTGAGACCCATAAGGACTCAACTGCTCAGTAAAGCCCTTGCCTGCTCATCCAGGGAAGTTTTAGGCTGAAAA